CTTTACACACCTGCCTGCTATTGTTTTGCGTAGCGAATCGCCGGTCACCGCTCGGCCAAAGGGCGATTTACGCTACAATATGTATGTATGATACATACATTCGCACTAAACTAGTTTACCCTTTGGGTACAGGGTATTAAAATAAGTGGAATCGCAGACCCGGTGGGGAAGATTTATTAGCCAGTCCGGCAAGCTATACCCCGTCTCACAGCCATTCCTGGTCAGAGATTCCGGAGAAAGAGAAAAGAAAAGAGAGGCTTTTATTAAAGGAAGAGACAGTTCGGTTGAGAGCAGGTGAAAATATTCATTATTAGTTGCGCATAATACCCGAAAAGAATTATGTGATGCATAATCAGTTGTACATCTACTAAGGAAAAGGGGAAGATAATTTCTTGTCGTTCTAGAAGGAACTGAGTCGACCTAATAGGAAAGGGGAATCGACACTACCGGCAATCAGTTTGTGGAGAAATCAATTAAAGTACCTCACATGCTGACTACTCCGTTTCGTGTTATATGTTTAAATTATTTTTTCTTACCTACTCGCTTCCTACCTTTCACTTTTTTCCTATTTAATTCTTCTTTAGCAGCAGAGCTTTCCAAAGGCAATTTACATTGTGAAGGCTATAAAGAATATACTGTCCTGGTATTCACAATTCAGGAATTTAAATAAATTAAACATCTCATACGCAAAACAGTATTTGAAAGTAGGACCTTTCATTATCTTTATTACTCCGCAATCAATATCAAACACATTGAACTTAAATGATTCTGTTATTTGCTACTTAATATCGCTACTCTTATGGGCTGATATCTATTAATAAATATTTGGCTTTAAGAACCACACTTCATTAGCCACAATGTGCGGAATTCATATGACCCTCTATTTATTGTAGAACCCCTGGACGGAACAAATTGACGCAGAAAACAATTTGCTGCTTAATTAATGCGCAGTTACAAAAACATTTAAATTATTCATGAGCCAAAATAATCGAACAACTGAAAATACACACACACACGCACACATAGATACCCAGGCTAATTAGCGCATAAATTAGATACCGCACTCGTTTAAATCAAGTCGAGCTGCCTAAAATCAAATGAGTGCTTTAAAATGTTGTATACTTTGCAGAGCTTTACATACACACCCGCATTCGTATCCGTATCCGCACCACACAAACACAAAACATAAACACATAACACGCACACATATTCGGAACTTCAAATGCGCACTTTATGTGACTAATTTGCTTTCGGTTGTGCCTAATTAATCACATTTAGTGCTTAATGTGCATTTAATTGTGGGTCTGTGGGCTGCGGGCCGAAAAAACAAGGCTTTTAAGTTTTAGGCCGTTCAGTGGGAAATTAAAAATTGCATTACGCTCGGCGGTTCAATGCATAAATGCAGGCGTACTACCCACCTTAATGTACTGCACTTAAAGCGCATTAAACGACTTTTGCATATAATGCTGACCTAGAAATCCATGTGACCCATAAAAGGTATTTTAATTAAATTTTTTTCTTATCAACTTATAAAATTGTCGCCAGCGACCATTGCAGATGTATTTAATAATAAAGCAGACGAATCCGCAAATAAAGTGTAAATGTTGAATTTTTTCTGTGGCGTCAGTGACGAGGTTGGAGAAACCACAATAACGCCCACAACATGATGACACCTCCCACAGATAAAAATAAATAAATAAAAACAGTAAGAGCACCGTCAAGCATTGCATTTTTTAATTAAATTAAAATACAGTGCGTTTCCGATTTATAAGACACCTTATTGTCATTTTCCTTTTACAAACGACGCCAGTTGATATTTCCCTAGACTAAGGTCTAGACCTTAGTTTTTAGTCGTAAACTGCCTTTCTTATAGCTTTCGACATTTCTGAGATAGTTACTCTGGTGGTTTCGCCATCACATGCTTATAACTATAGCCAATAATATAATGATAGAATGGAAAGAACTGTTCATTTGTTTACTGGAATTGTACCAACTAGCAATGTATGGCAAATATAAATAAATATCGCATATATACAAATAAATTATCGGTGAAAAAGTGTATATTTGTAATTGCTGGATTATTGCTTAGTTTTTTTAATGAAATATTGGGCGACGTTAGTAAATAATATGGCAGAATGACAACGATTACATATCGAATATTCAAACCAAGAGCTTTGCCATAACACATGATCTGGCTGATTACGTGTAGGCCTATAATCCCAGTAAACATTTTATCGTGACTGTCTGTCGGGGCTTAGTTTCTATGTGTTATTGTATTGCATCGCTTTATTATTTTATTAATATTATTCCAAGCTACTTTCCTCATCACTTTCTCCTTAAAGTGCATGCCCTGAAAACTCTCAAGCTTTACAAATTTAATGCTACTTGAACAGCCAGAATTCGCATAGTTCCGGATACCACCAATGCTCTCCCTCATTCGCCCCGTTTGCAAAACTAGAGGCGTTAACATGCCACAATGCATAAATTAATTACACGACATTTCGGCTCTCTGGCCAAAACTTACAAGTGGCTGCCTCCCATTATAGGGCGGTTGTATGCAGATTGTTTGAGGGGTCGTCTTTGGCCCAGTCGGCGCTTTCAAGTTGTCTACTAATTGCCATTTTACTGTCACATTTAGTGGATTTACATGTGCATATATTTGACGTTATTATTTGAAGTTGCGGCCTAAGTTGGCACAGGACAGCAGAGCCAGTCGCACTCACCCGGCGACTCATGCCGGCCTAAGTTTTAAGTGTTCAGTGTTCACAGTTCGTGTGGATTTTATTAATCACATTAGTCGGGGCTTTAAGCGCACCAGTTGGCTGGCATAATATGCAAATTAGCGTCGGCATTAAATGCAGGCATGGACTCAATGCAAAAGGTTGCCATATTTACGAGCAAAGTGCATGGCGGCTGCATGCAAAATAAAGTCGTTTATCAATGCACGGCAAAAAGCAACAACAGCCGCATATATCATTGTGTATGCGAGTGTAGATGCTATTATTTAGCTTGGCAATAACAACAACAAGGTGCAGCGAAACTGGCAAAAGTGCGATTTCTAGACTGCATTTAAAGCGCAGCAATACAAAATACATCTACGAATTTCTTTTAGCACCGCACCATTTATTGCTCCAAACTTGGTAAACAGACTTGTCTCTTCCAAACGAAACGCAAGTTAATTGTAAACTAGTGTACTTGTACTTAGTACTATATAACCCAATTATTTTATTTAGGTTCTATAGGACCAGCCTGTGTCGGAGAACTGAATCAAAAATCTATCTGCCATAAGAGTGATTAGAACAACAAATTTTATTTCAATTAAAAAGCTGTAGCGATAAAAATGTTTGGGTACAGGGTAGGTATAAGCCAAGAAAGCTCTGTACGTTAAATCAGCAAAGTTGTAGTAAGGAAGAAAATATTACCAACGTTAAGAAAACCAGCACTTAAGAATTCGCCGTTAAATCCGACAATATAGAAAATAATGTAAATATATAGTAACAAATAGTGTTTAACCTTGGTATGAAATAAAAATAAGAATAGTTTCCTCATCCCTGGGCGACGCGAGTTTTTTTTTTTACCAGTTATTAGTAGCATGCAAACCGACAACACCAACATCCTACCTTGCTTGCAAAATTTCTGCCTAATTTTTTTGTATTTCAGCATATGTTTTTCAAATATGAAAAAAAAGTTATCGACATCTAGTTTTTTTCCAGATGTAGAATGTTATTTATGGTGAATTATATCTATGTTTGTCCTTAGAATCAGTCAAGTGCTACAGTCCCGCACGTCCCTCTCATATACTTATACCCTAAGCAGGTTCAGAAGAAGTCTGCTATTTGATCTGTGCATTTCACTAGCATATATGTATTATATTTATTTACGATTCATAGTATATACAAGTACATACATATAGCTGCTAGAACGCATGTGATATTAAAACAGACTACTTTTTCTGTCACACCGATCAAGCATATAAATCCTGCTTCTTTTGTTTCTTCGTAAACGATTTCTTAATACTCGTTTACCCTTCGGGTACGGCAAATGAAAATAAAATAACTCTTCACATCCAAAAAGTTGCCGCCAAACGCATTTAAGCACAGCAGCCTGAAAGTATGCAACATTTTCCTGCTCCACTTCAACAACAATAAACTTGGCCGGCGCACAAGTGGCGAAACTAAATTAACACTAATTACAGCATAATAACTATAAAATCCCAAAGACAAGTGCTCAAAAGACTCAACAGCTCATTGCCAGGCACTTGCACTTGCCACTCAACGACGTCTAGTCCGGCGGGCTGGCTGGACTTGTAACCGCCCGCGGTGCAAAACGCTACGAGGCATAGTCGACAGAAATAGGAAGTAGCCTAGAAGCAAGGCGAAGTACAAAGTGCAAAACATGATTAAGAGTGAAATATTTATTTACAACATTTTGAGACGCGGCGTCGGCGTTGGTGCTACGGTAGCGGCCAACAATTAGACGCAGACTACGGCTACGTGGCGCTTGAACAGTGGGAAACACGGCTTAAACATGTAAATGGCCAGGCTAAGGCCCAGGGGCCAACTGAGCGATGATTTAATGGCTCCTAATGCGCAAGAAAAGGAGCAGAAGGAAAAAAATAAACAGACGAAGTGAATGTGGATGTGCGGCTCTGCAGCTCGTGGCAATCGTGCAACAAGTGCAGTGGCAAGCTCCACTCGATGCAAATTGGTCGACTCTTAACTCTAAAATTTATGAGCATTCCTTTTATTGAAGAAACTAATATTATTTATTTAGATACATAGGTATTTACTAAAATAGAAGGTAAAACTTTGCAATGTTTCCCAATAAGCCATATAATAAGCAATATTTCTATAAGAAATATTTAGATATGAAGCTTCTTCTCTGTCAAATCTTGATCCGACTGTCCGTATCATAATATTTTAGCTATGGTGATCTGAAGTGTCTTGATTGAAATGGGTCGCACGAAAATTAATAAAGAAATATCTTGTTGTTCGAAAGCATTGCAATAAAATCTTATTTTTTTAATTGAGTAATTATTATGTGTATCCGTTATTAATTCATAAATTATCCATCTGGGACTAAATCTAGCACTTAGTCTAAATACAATATGAGTTAAGGTGCATAGAAACACAAATACCATACAAAAATTATAGAATAGTTTATACTAAATGCAAACTCTACAAGCTAATACTCCTCCTCTTCAAAGCCGTATCCGTACTCATCGTCATCCCCAACAGCTCCTTTGTTAAGCATATCGTGGAGGGTGGCTTCTGGCTCTGCTTCAGGCTCGACATGGACATCGTCCGCTTCGTCCACATCGTCGTACTCGGCATCATCTGTGAATCAAATAAGAAATTTATGATTGCACACAACATACAGGTATGTACTTTAATTTGTAGTGTGCTTACCATGGTCTTCCAACACCACCGCTGGCTCCGCAGTGTCCGCCTGTTTGGGCGTCAAGTCAGCCGTAGGCAGACTGGCCTCAGCACGACCACGTTTTCGACTTGGCCCGGGTAGGTCGAAAGCAGGTTTAATACGACCCCTCTTGGTCTTTATCGGACCCTCCTCCACTATGATGGGCGTGAGCTGCAGCTCGTCTAATGTAATCGGTTTGCTGTTTGCATCGCTGCCACTCGCCACCGGCTCGCCCGCGGCACCCATGCCCTCGGTCAACGTCTTAAGGATGTCGTAATTGATTTTGTTCGAAATTTTCTTCTCCTGCAGCATTTTCTCAATGGCTTCTCCAGCCGTAGTGGATGGCCCAATAGGTTTCCTACGAGGCTTACGCTTCTTTCTCTCCGGCTTACCCTCCTCACGCTCCTTGGCCAAGAGCTCCTCGCGCTCCTTCTGCTTTTGCAAATATTCCGCATTCAAATTCTTCCACATGTCCATTTTCGTCAGTGCCTCCTCCTCAGTGAGCACATACTGATCCAACTCGTCATCATTTAGATCTTCCACATAAAGTTCAGTTTCCTCCGACTGCTTGGCACGCTCCACATCTTCCAAATCGCTTTGTGTTACCCGACATATAGCTTCAATGTCGGGTCGCAGTCCCTCAATGTTGGCAGCGACCATGTTGTGCGTTGCATCAGTCTTCTGCTCCGTGTTGCTATCAATAAAATGCTGAATCACCTCAGCATTTGATTGCTCGATGAATTGCCGTGACTCTTCAAGTTCAATCTCGTTTTCAGCGATTCGGTTGGAGGCAACTGAGCCCTTATCAGTAGCTTCCACTTCCGTGAACTTTGTCAGTTTTCGCAGCATAGTGTTAGTATTTTTCTCCAGGTCCTTTTCCAAGTGCGCATCTATTTGTCTCTGCAGTTCCGTCAGCTCAAACTCTCCAATCTTTCCAAAACAAAAAGGCAAGTTGCTTAATATTATTGCAGAAGTATTCATTTTAAACAGTATTGAAGTAATATCTCTAAGTAGGGGCGAAAATTTTAAATAATGGAAAATTAACCCTATGAAAAGGATCATAAAAAATACTGCCAGTTAAACGTGTCAGCGCTTAGTGCTAATACTAAAAGTGCGGAAAAATGTGCACCCATTTCCATTTTGACTTCTTGTTTTTTCTGTATGCTCTTTAGAGATCTAGTACTTCAGGAAATATATTTTATAACAGTGGCAATCCCTATGTTCTCTTTACTATTTAGCAGAAACCAAGATATTCACATTGACAACCATTTTAAAAGTTCGATAAGAACAAAGTTGGGTTTAATAAAACAAACTTAGCACAAGGTATTTAAAAATATTTTTGTTCAATATATGAGTGTTCTTAAACACTAAAGATTCGTGAGTCTCTGCCCAGAAATTATTCCGAAACCAGAGCGTTATGGTAGACTTACATCCTTGATGCGCTCCCGATCCTTTTTGCGCGCAGCCTTAAACGACGGAGGGTCCTGTTCACGCTCCAGATCCACCGTCATGAACTCCTCAAGCGTGAGACCGCTGGAAGGGGTCTCTGCGAACTCAGAAAGACGTTTCCGTAGCGTCGACTCGTGGATCTTGACCACACCCACTATATCGACGATGGTGCGATTGAAGTCGTGCATACGAGCAGCAATTAGCAAGGCTGAAAATACAATTTCAGCTTGAGCCAGTCTTCTACTTCCCAAAAGCAAGGTCCACGAACTTACCTGCACCGCAAAGGCCCGTGGGTCGACGGCCAGAATGCATACAATCCTTCTTCATGCGCTGCACAATCCGCAATGCCGTCATGGACACCTCATGGGTCTTGGAGCCCAACTGCAGGCGATTTGCAAAGCGCATAATATACAAGCAGGGATCTGTAATTACACAAGATTTCGTCTAATTAGTGTTTACCGAATATGCAATAAGGAACTTGAAAAACAAAACAAAAATACGCAATGATTGAGTCAAGAAAACAACAAAACAAATCTATACATTTTAATTGCATCGCACGCCAACGTGATTTGATCAAATACCAAGAGCAGAAGAACCTGTCTGACGACCTTGAAAGCGGATCCAGTCCAAGCTCGAGCCAAGAGCGGCCAACGAAATTGAAAACAGCCGATAACCGGCCGCACAGCGACGGCCGTTGCCGAAAAAATCTTGAACCCGAACTCGACTACTCGACGTTCGATTCATTCAACTTTTTACAAGAAAAAACACAAAAACGAAACCGATGTAACATCAATGTCGGCGTCGTTGTAATTTGTCCAAGACAAGTGTTGAAAGACCGCAGAGAGTTCGAGTAGTTAGGTAGGATAGAGAAATATCAACAAAAAGCGTTTTTATATCGCATGCAAGAGATTTTATTTTCACTTAAATGCCTTAACTGCTGTTTACTCTTTACGGCCAAAAACTTACCGAGTACTCGTAACTTATATGCATATACAAGTACATAATAGATAGATAATTTGCACATTTATCTTGCTTTTATGGCCGTGCAAAGTTTGTAGCATAAAGTACACATTACGCATACGTCATGTATTTAAAAAAAAAAAAACGCAACTGCCCTACTTTGCGTATTCTGTGTTATTGTTCAGCGCTTGCCATTCATCATCCATTTGCCTATTAACTAAGGTAATTAGTTCTATTTGGACTAGATCAAAGATTACTCAACCAAGGAAACCTGTGAATAACAAACCACAACAGAGGCACTAACTACAACACCAACAACAACAACAACAACACGGCAACCATAACGCACGTTAATTAGCGCTTGGCTAAGCAAGTTCATGCCGTGACAAAAAGCAGACGACGCGGCAGTGGCGACTACAGCAAAGGCTTCGTCAAAGGTCCATTAGAGTATGGCAAATAAAACATTGCAGAAAATACTAGTTGGGGGGGAAAATCAAATGTTGTGCAAAAAGCAAAGAGCACACAAAATCAAACAGTCGAACGACCTTCCCATCACCTGAGACGCACAAATGAGCGTACGACGCATGGATGGCATGACGGGCTCGGGGAATACGCTGCAACTGACCCTCAACTGCGCGCAAGAGCAAGTTTAAAATTCGCATAACATTAATGTTGATTATTGAATTGTAATTGCAACTACTCCGAAAATTGAGGTAGGCCGCCTCGATATTGAGCGGCAAACAAGAGCACAACGTGATTGTGACTCTGACCGCTGGCCAGTGGGCCGGCTTAGTAAATTTTCATTTACATACGTGCGTACAGAGTTTAAAAAAAACCATAACATTACATATACACATAATATTATTCTTTTTTTAGTAGAGGTGAATTTTGATTTTTTTTGAAAAGTATTTGTTCATCAATATCAATTTTGTCCCCTTTCAAGTAATCCCCCATAATGCACTTATGCCTTCCAATCCTCGAAGCACTTCTGAATTGCGCTTTTCGGTATGGCCATCAGCTCGTTCTTCGATTTTGATTTTATCTCATAAATTGTGCAAAACGCTTTCCTTTCATTGGTCTTATCAGTTTTGGGAATAGGAAAAAGTCGTGACAAAATCTCGTTTACCTCATCAAGATGATATATTTGCTGTTCGTCTGTGGAACGAGCTACCACATAGCTTAAAAACAATCAGCAATGAAACGCATTTTAGAAATAGAATTCATGCGCACTTTGAAGGAAATACCTAAATGTAAATAAAGTAAAGAGCACAATACTAACACAAATACATTTACACTCAGTAGGCAACACTTTTGTACTGATTATAATATTATTATTAATAATAATAATAATAAAAATTAAAAAAACCTAAACATTTTAAATTTATGTATAACTAAAATGTATCTAATATAAATAGGCTAATCAAATCACTTGAAATCAAATCACTAAGGAAATTTAATTGTTGTGACTTGTGCACTAATTTATAAAAATCATTCTTGTAGCACTAGGAATTAATAATAATAATAATAAATATATGCTTCTGGCCATCTACCTACATACATACAAACGTAATAACATAAAAAAAATCGAGCCCGCGAAAATTCAAAATTCAACATTCGCCTTTTCTTTTGAACAGACCTCTTATATGCATGTATAGAATTGCATTTTTAGAACGTTTGAGTGAGAATCTCTCTCCCTTTCACAAACTTGGAAGAATCTCGCATACTTGCTAACAATCTAGCGGAGACTAAACCACGATCAAATGGGCAACGTATGATTCGTTCCGAAATTCTTTCTCACATAAAACAGCAAAGTACAGTCCAAAAAGTACGAAATAAACTAAGTATTAAACACGCTGTGCGACAATATATATGCCTTTTGTGTTTCCCAATCGGAATTGCTTTTCTACAAATTTTTCATGTATATGTAAAAGCTGTGTTTTCTGCTGCCCTTACTTTCTGTGATTACCTAAATGACTTAATGAATGTGTAGTTTCGTTAATTGTTATCGACATAGCGCAAACGTGGATCGTGATCTTTTCAAGATGTTTGGGACCGCTCGCGCACCTCTAACGCCAATTGCAACTGCCGCCTAACTCGGCACAGTAGCGCAGGCAGCTCATGCCACATGACATGTTAGCTGGTGGCAAGAACGAGACTGCAACCCCTAGTACTTAGCTTGTCAAATTCGCTCGAATTGCTGAAAAAATGTATTAAACTGAAATGAATGCGCACATTCGAGGCAGTAGCAGCCGCCGCTCCTCCTCCTCCTCCTCCAAGGCAGGCCCGCTCTAGATGTGGTTGGGGGGTCTAGGTCTGCACCGCCTGCTCTTATTTGCTGCTGTGGCTGCCGCTGAGTGTTCCACTTGAAAAATGATGCCACTGCCGTTGGCTGAGCCGCTGCATTGACCCTTCAACGCAGCGCCCACTCATCCACAGCAGCTGTTACAGCTACAGTTGCCGGAGTGTCGGGCGCAGTTTTTTGAGTTGTGAGCGGGTGGGAGCGGCTGCTGCTAATGGTTTCTTAATGTTTGACCGAATGCCGCCAGAGCCACTCAGTGCAGCTTCAGTGGCAGCAGCGCTGACCTCAGTAGTTTTGGCCGCAGTAGAAGCAAGTGAAATAATTATTATTTACTTTGGCAACAAGCAAGCACAAAAAAATACAAGTTTAATTTCAACTCTTTTTGCAATTGTCATGACAGCAATTATCATTATTATCATTCTGGGCCCATATCACGCGCCCTTCCCCACAAAGTCCGGCATTGGACCCAGACCCAGACGCCGCCCCCTTCCCCACCGCCCGATCACGATCCCTTCGCGCTGATTACTTTTCGTTTTATGTCTTGTAAAATGCCACAAAATTGGCAGCAATTTTGGTAATTAACTAAAGTTGGTTGTTTGTCGCTGTGCTTGGTTTTAATTGTTTCGTAACTATGAAACATTTTCTGGCAATAGGTTAGACAATTTTATATATGTTATGCCATTGTTATTGTCTTACACTGGATTTCAAAACAAATCTAGCATGCTTAGCCTTGCTTGTGCTTGAAGTCTGTCCGAACTGTGTCGATCAATTCGTCACATGTCAGTAAAAACAATCCAGTGACATTTTCAATGCCTTTAAAACACAGCGCTTGTCGTAACAAATTAGCAACAATCGCTCAAAAACAAAACAAATAAATCAAACTCCACTTAACAACTGTGAATCTTCCTGACCTAAGCTAGAGGGGTGAGAAACAGCTGCCCCCATACAGCAAAAATAAAAATCAAAATAAAAACTAACAAAAGAAAACAAATTGTATTAAAAAATTTAAATAACAATTATAAGAGCATCGTAAAGCGTCACTAAAAGTAAAACACTGGTATGCTAAATAAACAGATTGCAGCTAATAAGACGACTCTAGCTTTTCGAAAAATAATATTGAATGCTCAGCCAATATCCCAATTTCGGATACCAGGGCCCCTGGGACATACGACCATGGATGGAGATCGTTTCAACTTAAAAGTTTTTATGTTAAAAAATACTCACATTCGTAATTTAGCATTCGACAGACTTGGTTTATAATACTTTAATCTTTTCTATTTACTCGATTGGTTTCAATGGAGATTTCAGTACATTTTTAAATGTACGGAAGTGAAAAAGTTGTAGATCGCTTCTCGGATAAATCGACTCATTTATGGATTAGGTTAGCAATAAAAACGTAGAGACAGCTGGGCTGAAAAATTCATTGGCTGGCACATACAAGACCCTACATACTAGTATTGAAATCCATATCATTTATAGTTACACCTAAATTTGATAGCTGTCGCACAATTAGTTTGTGAGTTATAGGATTTTGAGGGAAGCAACTTTTGTTAGTTTCAAAAAATTGGATAAAAGAAATGTCGTGTATTAATAAAGGATTGCTTTTTGGCGAATAAAAATACTATTAAAGCCAAGGCTTGTCTTGATGAACATTATTCGGACTTTGCACTGGGAAAATCAACCATTGAGAAGTGGTTTGCTAAATTTAAGTGGACGCCCCAAAGCGGAAGTTATCGACGAAAACATCAAAATAATTTCGAATAACCATAAAGTGAAATTGATTGAGGTAGCTGGGGCCCTAAATATATCAAAGGAACGTGTTGGACATTTCTTGTGGTTGCCCCGCGAGCTTACAATCGAACGAAAACACCAACGAATTGATTATTCTGAACATTGTTTGGAACAGTTCAAGGAAGGAGGACAGAATCGCGAAAAAGGGTTCCATTTTAAGAAAAAGAAAGTGCTGTTTAAACAAGACAATGGTCCTATTCATTGCTTTCTCTGGCCCCCAGCGCCTTTCCTGTTCTCAGACTTCAAGAGAACATTGTTTGGAACAGTTCAAGGAAGGAGGACAGAATCGCGAAATAGGGTTCCATTTTAAGAAAAAGAAAGTGCTGTTTTAACAAGACAATGCACCGATTCATTGCTTTCTCTGGCCCCCAGCGGCTTTCCTGTTCTCAAGACCTCAAGAGAATTCTCGCTGGAGAGAAATGTTGACCCCGTGAAGAGGTAATCATTAAATCTGAAGCCTATTTTGAGGCCAAAGACAAATTGTACTATAAAAAAAAGTATCTAAATTCGTCGTTCGCTCTCTGAGGCAAGATTGAATATTAAATTAAAATTTATAAAAAAAATGTTTTTTTCGACTTTTCAGCCCACTTGTTACTCTTAAGAAAATTTTATTATTTCTTTCGAGGCAGTGTGTACTTACTAGTCGCCTTGTTCCTCTTGAACAAAGTGAGTAAGCAAATCTAGAAAAACTAGGTAACAAAGACGAAACGACAAATCCAAGCCAAACAATAACGATTATATATACATAATGTTTTAGTTTGATCGTAAAGTCACACGGACTGCTAATTGTAATTATTCAGTTTGTATCTAGATATAAAGGCTTGTGACAGGGGAACTATTTTATGCTCATTTATAATGCATAAAAGGGCGATGAGTACAACAATTAAAATGCCAAATAAAATCGTTCGCACTCCTCTAAAAATGTTCCCAGACGATCCAGCAAAAATCGCATGCGATACTCGTAGCTGCACACCACGCGCCATGGACTCAAGGTAAGCGTCAACGTCAACACCTGAGCTGAGCAACAGCTGCTGGTTTTGTGGCGATCGTAGCCACGATGACGTCGTCGTCGTCGTCGTTGGGTGGCTCTCAAGAGCGACCGCCACCGACAGCATCAGCATCAGCAGTGCTCGGTGATCGGCGATCGGTGGTGGCCCGCTGATTCGATCGGCCGGCCATTGTTTCATTACGAATTCGTTCGTTGACTCGACAACACGGCAAACTCGTCAGAAGTGGCGGTCGACGCGCGTGCGCACAACAAGCTCAAATGTAAATGCTGGTTTTGTTTTATTTGGAAATTTGTGTAAATCACTACAATATTTACGACGCTTGCATGTTCTTTTGTTGACGTTTTAATTTGTGTGCTAAGGCTTTGTTTTTAATGCTGCGAAAATGCCGGTAAAGTGCGTTAAGCAAAACGCACAAAAAACAAGTGAAGTGTGCAGAATACAGCAAGCTTTAAAAAGTGGAATGACAACCAAAATACATTTTTAGCATCAAGTTAGACGGCAGCTCATCGAAAATATTTAAAATGCTGCTCTTCTTTCTCTCCCAATCTCTATCACTACGACATAGCAATATACTTGTATAGTGTGCCTTCACAGGTGTCGATACTGTCGGATTAGTATTGTTGGTTATGCTTCAATGCCAACGATGTAAAAATTAATTAACAATGAAAACGGCCGCATTATTCTAGTTATTTGTATGTCCAAAAAGTGTGTGCATGGGAAAATCAATGTCGATGAGCGACTCTACCAATATATGTTCTCTGAAAGGGCAGTGACGGGTGCCAAGTTCAAGAATCTGTATCAATATTGACATACAAATATTGAAACAAGCAACAACTTGAAAGAATATGTCACAGCCCTACGACATTATCATTCAACCCATTCATCAACCTATTCATAATTAACTATTCAAGATTTCACAAAGACTTGTTCAACTACATCCTACGAATTCCGTTAGATGGAATTATTTCAGGTGATCCAATTCCTTCCAAAACTTGATTCAATAATTGACTAATTTTCTGAATTCATTTTTATGCCGAAATAACAAAGTTTGTTGAAACATTGTATTAAGCTATATAATTTCTTTTTAATTTCCACCAAAGGTGTTTTAATCAAGCAAATCAATTTGATTAACACAAAGCGTGCACATATAATTTTGTTGAAGTTCCCAGCGCGCCCCTCACATTACCATATAATTTGCTAAGGTGTTGTTGTTTTTGTAATGTCCAAAAGCCCGCAACAACAACTACACAGCGAGCATTTCATATAACTTGAACTAAGACAAAGATAGGAATTGCGCAATATACTATATGCTTATGGTGATCGAAGCGCGTTAAACGTTGAGCCTCTAAATAGAACTTAAAGAACTTCCCCCTATCCACAATACTATCTACATACTAGAACTTTTCACTATGCGGTGTGTGGAGTGTGGTGAGGTAAGGCGAGCAAAGATCATCACAGACCGGCGCAGCGTTGCGATTTCGTAGACAAACAAATTATTTGTGGTTGTTGTTGTTTTTATTAACACGGCACAAACACGCCCCGCAACTTGTCATCGAACTCGCAAAACTTACAGAGAACACAAAATGGCTTTCTATCCAAAGTGCTAGACTCATTAAGATTCCGTACAAGAAACGATCGCGTGGAGACATAAATATTTAAAGAGCCCCCCAAAAAAAAGAAGCATAACGAAGCTTTTTCAGCGGACAGAAAACTGAGCAATTTGTTGTAGAATCACAAAAAATAACTGAACAAATAAACATACAAATTGTAAACTGGTTTCTGTTAAAAATAAGCAAATAATGCAAATCAATGGTTTGAATTTTTCTCCAAAAAATTGTGCAGTGCATGTCAATATAGTGTCGTAAGAAACACGCCAAAATGTGCGAATCATGATGTGATCGCAAGTAGTAATAGTAAACAAAAAAAAACACACACACACACACAAGAATACGAATAGAATTAAAAATGCATAATTTGAGTTTAGTGCGGGAGCTACCTTATTACATAGGTGTTGTGAAATACTTCATTCAAAAAAAAAATGTTTAGGTTTTTTCAAAAGTCGACAAGTCATTAGACAAACTGCAGCATGACTGACGAAAAAAGGTGAAGAGACGAGACATACTTGTAAAAAAGAAATATGAAAAGTGACTGTGAAAAACTGCACGTTAATGTCTATAAAATTATCTGCAAATTAAAGCGTCTAACGCGCCGCCTGCCCGACTTGTCTCAATAATTGCGAAACAACCTAAGGGCACTCGAAGCAAGCAATAAACTTATTTGAAAACACCTTACCTAAAAAATCAGACAAGCGGGCATAATTAAAGCGCCAAATCGACAAATCAACAGAAACGGCAGCTACAGCTACAGCAACAGCAGCTCAAGAGCCTAAGCACGAAAAAGCAACGTTTGGAGGTCTTGGGGTCGTTGCTGTTTCTGTTTCTGTTTCCATGCAGACCTGGCTAGATGTGTTTGGATGGCTTATTGTTCGATTTTGAATTCATTGTCCACTGGGCGTTCATCGTACTCTACGCTTTATGACACATTTAGCAGTTGCGAAATTTGCTTACAAATGAAAATGAAAATGCCGCAAAACTTCAAGTAGCCCATAAACTATAGTAACCAACGAAAATAATGAGAAAATAAAAGACACCACTTCAAGCCAACAAATAACCCAGCAAAAAAGACAAAAAAAAATACAAGAAACCAACTAAAAAGCGACAACTCTTCACTTTTTTTGCGCGCGTTTAATGAGGAAATAAAAATCGAAAGTGTTACGCGGGCGTCGCTCTTGGGTCTCTCGTCTGACCCGTCGCCGCCCAACAACAACACCGCGACCAAAGTGGGTCGCGATTTGTAATTAAAGAGGCAATGAAATGAGAAGCAGCAGCATGAAGCAAAGCGCGAGCCCAAAGCCCAAAGCCCAAAGCCAAAAGAAACAATAATAAATTAGGAAAAGGGCGCGTGATGTTAATGCAAGCGGCAAATTTGAAGTGCAGAGAGCCGCAAAAATAAATCCCAACATGAAAAACAAAATATAAACTGAACCTAAATGCAAATATGTGTACGCGTTGAATGAAATGCGCATGCAAGAAAAACAAAGCCTCTCCACCTGATGAATAATAAACGTGACTTGGTTGTTAAGCCATGAAACGAATTTAGCATAAATTGCATATTTCAGTTGCAGTGCTAGTGCGTGTGTCGTCAATACCCTACTACTATAATATATTTTACTTGCATATCTTGTGCCCATAAGGCAGATGAGTGCCAGCTCATCTAGCACTGCTCATTCCATTCTTGACAACGCACAAGCAAGCGTCTGTTCCGGCTAAAAATATGCTCGAACGGCCCTGTTCCGGTTTCCGAATTCGACTTAATATCACGAATCTCAATTAACTAGTTCTTCCGGTTTCCATTCATTTCTCGTACATGGCATTGCTCTACTTTCTGCAACTTCTGCAAAAGTTACGTTCCCATTTCGGTTGTTACATATGCTTTTAAGCATTCCTCAATCAAAAAATTAAATTTCAAAAGATAAGGCAAATGTATAAGTCCGCATACATTTCCGACTGGTAAGACCAAGTGATTTTAATTTCACCTTGATTTTGCTTTCCTTTTAGTCTACAAATAATCCATTTTACTTGTATATCCTAAGCATGAAGAGTCAATGAAAAATCAAAGAAAGCCTTAGCGCGAAATGTATGTAAGCAGAAAAAGATGTTTAAGAATGGCATAACAAGATTCTTAAGTAAAACTGATATTTAAGATTTTGAATAGTGTCTCGTGACAACTTGTAGTTTGATCAAATATAAAGCACTTTATCGTTAAGCTGCTACAACGTTCAAACAAGCTTAATACCAAGAACATTTTTTTTATTGTGTGGAACTATAATTCGTACTAAACCCTTTTGCACTTAACGTACAGAGTATAACAACGCAAAATGCGTGAGAGAGATGGTTTTTGTTGACAATTTAGCCTTTAAAAAAAATCGCATGATTTAGACACCGTTTATATCTTATGGAGACAAAACCTACAGCTTCGGCTTATCCAAAGCTTCAATCCCAAATGTAAGAGGGCATCAAGCAATTTGTATCTTCAACAGTTGTTGAATAATAATGGGATGCATTTAATAAAATTTATAAACCACACTATTGATTTCAACATACTTGTAGTGGAAATTGATTTGTATTTTTAATTGATATCTTCATTATATTATACCAATGGCTCATACTTCGACTTACTGACAGCATAAAGGGCTGTAATGTTCCCCATTAGGCATTGCATATTGTCCTTTAATTGAAACGTGAGCAACTTGTCTAACGCTAGACATCTTTTTGTTCGAATTCACTGTAACTCTACATCCAAACATAACGACGTATATACCAATACCGGAAGCTTTCAATATCGACAAAACTGTTGGGTATCTACTAAAAATGAACGCGCATTGCCTCAACTAAACAACAAATATAGTTGTATTTATTGTTTTGTTTGGGGGCGTGACAAACTCACTTTGAACCCCACATTGAAGAGTCACAAAAAGTGTTTTCGACGTGGATGCTGCCCGCGGACTCCGCCTGAGATCGAACGTCAAAGCCATGACGTTATAAAAATTCGTTGTCTGGCTGTTTGCTGGCGGTGTCGGTGTCGCGGTTTTGTTTTGGTTACGGGCTTCGCATTTTTGCCAATTAAAAACCGCCGCTTGCATAATTTTCGCAGCTCGGGTAAGGTTCGCATCCGCACACAGTCCCCCACACTCAAACACATACACATACACACGAGATGAGGCAACTGGGCCACAAAGACTGCGCTTTGGGTCTAACTTGTGGGTTCTGCTTGACAAATGACCGCGTGTTGAGAAAATGAAAGCAAATTACATTGAAGCCCAGTCGCGGTCCGATTACACGCAGCTTCAAATGCTTTGAGGCAGCCCCAAAACAAAGCTCAAACACACACATAAACATATGCTGGTGTAATTTAATGTACTTCCTGTAACTAATAAAAAGCAACAAATGCGTGTGGAAGTGAAAGTGCATGAAACGGCAGCGACAACCGCCGCCACCGCAAATGGCAAATTTGAGGTTAGCGTTTTGAAGCAGGAGCATAGTGAGATAGAGAGAGGGAGGCAGGTGGAGAATATCGGGTTCAGTGGCGTGCAGCAAAAGTTGCATAATCTGATAATAAAAATCTCGCTCTCGTCTTTTGATTAGTTGCAGCAGGCAGCCAGCACAGACTATTGAGGAGCAAGCAAAGAAGACATGCCACAAGCGGCAATGGTGCTACAAAGATGATTGAGGCGTTTGCAAATCACCTGAGCAGTCATCTGGGACGTCATCTCTTTTACTGGGCCATCGATACCACAGGGTCAGCTAGAATTGGCAGCGGCAACTACGGCCTCAACCTGCGTCTCTCCGAGCTGATTAACAAATTCCACGGCCCCCTCGAAAGGGGCGTGCAGGTGCTGGACCATTTGCTGACACTCGAGGAGGAAGACTTTGCGGGCCATTGGGGCAGCGCCTATGCCCACAATTACGAACCAGAGTACGCTGCGCGTGTCCTCGAAAACGAAGAACTTCCGCCTCCCGAACAGCCGCAGCATCAACAGGTGCTACGTCACGGCTATCGCAACAGTAAGTAGGATCTATAATAAAATATAAGTTTTCTAGTATGGTGTCCTCCACTCAATGAATGAGGAATGAATGATTTTTTGTAAATCCAAAGCTCCAAAGTTCCGGCCAAGTAGTAAAACAAATCGGTAGGAACAGAGTTGATCATTTTGAATATTTTACATTAACTGGGGCATAACGTTTCCCTACATTTACTTTAAATTTCATCTAAATTGAGGTGTCCTAAGACGAGCAATTATCGAAACAACTTCATTTTTGCAGTAGAGTGTTCGCTCTTCTTTTCTTAACTTCCCACTTTCGCTCTAGTTCTTTTTTTCAAATATTTCAAAAGAAGTAACTAGGAAACAGCACCAAACTCAAAAAAAAAAGTTTGCACAAAGGTCAACAACATACTTACACACAAAAATAAATAAGACAAATAGCGCTGCCGGCTGCATCGGCAGCAACCAAAATTAAAACTGGTTTTCTTGATAATAGTATGTGTGTGTGTGTGTGTGTGTTAAAAACGACAAATTTGTGTATATGTGCTAAGAAATAAACAAACCTTCAGGCATAGCGATGACAAAAAAAGTCAAATCAATTTCAAGTTCAAATTTTGTGACCATATTCAACATGCGCAACGTTGAAAACCGAAAACCAAAATCCAAAGAAGCCGAAGACAAACAATAAATAATAGTTGTACGAAGAACCAAATACAAGTCAAGTTTAAAATTAAACATATGCAAATACTAAAGACAAGCGGCTAGTGGCGCATGGCAAGGTTGGGCAGCATACTACAGCGGAGTCGTAACTGCTGGAGTGACCCACGGTTTGCACGTACGCATTGACGTATTTTAATGGGCGCAAAGTGTGCGCACGGCGTCTAAAATTGATATCACGGAAATGTTGGCTCAGACCCATGATATAATCCATGCAATTTGCGCTTACGAAAGCTGCCGCAAAAGGCACGGCCACCATGTCATGCATCATCTTCGGTTCATTTACATTCAAATCATGCGCGCTCACATGGTACGCAAACAAAGCTGACAGTTATGGCACGCATCAGAAAAAGTAGCAGCGTAAATGAATGCAACGCTGTGCAGTGCTGCCAACCTGCACAAAAGTCAAGCTTACAAAAAACAGACTATAAACTAACGTAAAACTGCGAGTTGAGAATAAATGTTTGCAGTGCATTTCATTTGCAATTAGTAAAAGCAAGCGAATCGAAAAACATTCGCTGCTGACCTTTGCGGCGCCGTTTTCAGTTTTCATTGTCTGTAAACAAATCTCGTCTGTAATCGCAGTAGCGGCCGCAGTCATGGCCAGCAGCAGCAATAATCATGGCAATAATAACAGTGGCAACAATAACAACAATGCATCTAGCCGACTATCCTTAAAATCAGCAACTAAACGCAATCAGGAATCCATGTCGCACTCCCAGTTGGTAAATGGGGGTTGGATAAATGGTAAGAATGGGGCCACACACAACACACATACGCAAAGACTCATACATAGGCAGCGGCAGGTGCGCCGTATCCAACCATTGTCTGTGTTTTATTGATTTTTCACACAAAGCGCGTCGAATACACTAAACGAAAATGATGCTTGGGGCCCAAGGGGAGGGCACAGCTGTAGCTCGTGCTAAATGTCGCGCGTTGCGGATTTAGCGGCAAAACAAAATGCGCCGCTATTTTTGGATGCTCGACTTTGGCGTCTCGTATGCGTTTTTATTTTTATTAAAACTTAAAAAAGGGGGCCGCAGCTGCTCGCTCGAGAGGGACAGCTTTCGTTTTTATTTATTAGACGCGTGCGGTAGCAACGGAAGTGACTCCGTCGCTGCCAGACACATTCACAACCGCTGCTATTTAGATCGACACGATTTTTATATTTATATGTGCACCACAAATGTGGCGCGGTATTTGGGTGGCTATAACGCAGTTCGGTTAGAAGTTTTTTGAAAACGCTTGGAGTCATAACTAATATTTTGTTATTTTGCTTTTTATTTCAGCGGAGACGCTCAATAATGGCAACGGCTTGCTGCACTCCCCGCCGCACAACCTCCAGCAACAGCAGCAACAACAACAACGTGGCTTGGCGCTTTCACCACCCGCAGGCGCCACCAGCAGTGGCGTGGATCACAACATTCAAATAACGCAACCCATCAGCGCTCCCTCCTCACCACTCGCCTCCCCCGGTGCTCTAAATAGCAGCAGCAGTGCTACGACCTTCTGCCTGCCATCCAGCTCAGCTGCTGCCGCCATTGCTGCAGCTGCTGCCGCCGCCGCTGCTGCAAACACAACTCCAAGCAGCGGCAGTGGGTCCTATGTTTGCACCGGTGGGAGTAGTGGTACGTTTGCAGCAGTGGGCGCTTCGAATGCAATCGACACTGCCGATCCAAACTGGCAGGCCAGCAAGGCGACTGTGCTGGAGCGCAATGCGGCCATGTTCAACAACGAGCTAATGTCCGACGTCAAGTTTATTGTAGGTGGCGAGTTCGGTAGGTCAAGCGATAATGACAAACACTCTTAACTCAAGTCTGATAACGTCTTTTCTATAGATATCGAAACCGTACAAACCATTCCCGCGCACAAATATATTCTCGCCACAGGCAGTTCGGTCTTCTATGCCATGTTCTATGGCGGCTTAGCTGAAAACAAACAGGAAATCAAAGTGCCTGATGTCGAGCCAACAGCTTTTCTAACACTGTTAAGGTAAATACTAGTTGGCATTAAACTCACCTCAAATGCTATCAAAGACAACATAAATTGGCCAAACTTATCTAACTTATCTTCGTTGCAGGTATCTCTATTGTGATGAAATCAAACTGGAACCTGAACACATTCTAGCCACTTTGTACGCCGCCAAGAAGTACATTGTGCCACATCTAGCGCGTGCCTGTGTTAACTTTTTGGAAGTGCAGCTAACTGCAAAAAACGCCTGTCTACTTCTCAGTCAATCGCGTCTCTTCGAGGAGCCCGAATTGATGCAGCGTTGCTGGGAAGTTATCGATGCACAGGCCGAGATGGCGGTTAAGTCTGAAGACTTTGTGGATATTGACCTCAAGACATTTGAGTCGATATTGTCGCGGGAAACTCTCAACTGCAAAGAGATACATTTGTTCGAGGCAGCACTTAACTGGGCACTAAACGCTTGCGAAAAAATGAGCATCGATGATACCCCCCAGAACAAACGACGTCTTCTGGGCCAGGCCCTACACCTGATCCGCATACCCACAATGACGTTGGAAGAGTTTGCTAACGGAGTTGCCCAGACCGGCATTTTGACGTCGCAGGAGACCATTGACATGTTTTTGCACTTTACAGCCAAAATCAAGCCTAGCCTGAGCTTCCCAACACGCTCGCGTGCCGGTCTCAAAACCCAGGTGTGTCATCGCTTCCAATCGTGTGCCTATCGATCAAATCAATGGCGCTATCGTGGACGCTGTGACTCCATACAGTTCTCAGTGGATCGCAGGTGAGCAATAATTTAGAAAATTCCATTCCGGACGGATCAAGGCTTTAAAGCCTTCTCATTGCAAATAATATAATACATTTTTCGCTCTTTTAACAGAATTTTTATAGTGGGATTTGGACTATACGGCTCTTCGACTGGCGCAGCCAACTACAATGTGAAAATTGAACTGAAACGCCTGGGACGGACACTTGCCGAGAACGATACCAAGTTTTTCTCGGATGGCTCAAGCAACACCTTTCACGTCTTCTTCGAGAATCCCATACAGATCGAGCCTGAATGCTACTACACGGCCTCCGTCATACTCGACGGAAACGAGCTGAGCTTTTTTGGCCAGGAGGGTATGTCGGAGGTGCTTATGGGCAACGTTACATTCCAATTCCAATGCTCTTCGGAGAGCACAAACGGTACGGGAGTTCAAGGAGGCCAAATACCTGAGCTGATTTTCTACGGACCGACTACAGTAACAGCTTTGAACTCGCCCACAAACTCAATTTGTGCTACGCCCATTGGTGGCACAATAGGGGCAGCAAATGCTACTGGCGGTACCGGCGCCACCAATGCCACCAACAATGCTAATGCCAGTGAAGATTTGTTGGTAGCCGCCGCAGGCAGCGACAGCAGCAGCACCTGATGCGCACAGCTGTACTGCGCCGAGTGGCAGGGCGCCTGTTACTTTCGTCAGCAGCAACAGCACCAGCAACAGACGCAGCAGCAGCAGAAGAGATCGACCCAACAGCATGCCCAACAGAAGCAATCGACACAACAGCAGCCGCAGCAGCAACCACAAACACAAAGAAACTCATGGGTTTTCAATACAACGCAACAAAGTAAATTGGAATTTTAGGAGAAGCGATATTAGCATTATGTAGCAGTTATAATTAATGATATAGTAGCCAGCTCTAGTTCTCATAGTAGTCCTCAATGCCAATACATATAAACAGTGCATTTAGGCCTGTTGGTACTCATACAAATTCAGTGCATATGCATATACAAATAATACAGTAGACTCAAACTTATACGTTCCACAACTTGAGACGTTGCAGCAGACCAACAGATAAAGATATGAGGGCAACCGGCATATAATCAATAAGCAAGTGAAAATCGGGCAATCAGTCAAGCTAAGGGATATATACACATATATTTTAAAGGATATTGAATGCAATAAATACTAGAAAGTTATATTATACGTGACCAGACACAAAATACATATTTTTCGCCACCATATATACACGTTTAAAAACAAATATATAAATATAAACGATATAACAAACATTTATATACATATATAGCCAAGTTGAAAGTAGCATACGAATTTGAAAGCAAAGTTAAACATATTATTAACGGGTTTGAAAATGCACGGGAACTCGAGCAGTGCTCAAAATATGTGCGATATTCTCATTATATACTATACACACTTCGTATATGTTCTCAATTATCTAATACGTAGTCAAGTATATAGTCGTAACTTTAATCTTGAGTATATCTTCTAACATACTGTATACGCCCACTACTGATAAAAACACGCCCTTTTGCTTTGCACTACTCATTCCCTCGAGGCTGCTATGCGCCACAATACATTTATGTTTAAGTATTTCATTCTATGGAAATTGTACTGATTTTGCTTTTGGGATAAAGATAAACCTGTTTTTATATATACGAGACAAATGTTATCCTATATTAAACAATAATTATGTATTTGTCAATAACCAATAAACTTTATTATTCGATTTTTGTGAATGTAAATGCGAAAACAGTTGAGAAAAATTGGATGTGGAAAAGCTCTAACAAAGTAGACATTCAAGGGATTAAAGGTGGTATTCTGGTCCTGATAGGATTCTGAATGCTTCCCAACTGTCGAACAAATAAAATTAAACAAAATATCTGTACTACAGAGTTCAGAATCGAACCATACGGCATTCTGTGAGCTCTCACAAAATAAATATTTAACGGATTAAGGGTGGTATCCTGGTCCTGATAGGAATCTGCATGCTTTTCAATAATAAAATATCCTGTTAGTAAATATATCAACCTCCCCCACTGTACTATATCGAACAAACAAAATTAAACAAAATATGCGTACTACAGAGTTCAGAATCGAGCTATACGGCATTCGGTAAGCCTATTTATTTTATATGTATGTATATTTTGGTATGAGCGACCAACCTTTTGACTACAAATTCTATTCAGTCCTATATAATACCTTCATACTAAAATGGGATCAAACCCGAATCCTATTCGAAGCTTAACACATATCCGTTTTATTGTCTATGTAAGTGAGCTTAATGATTTCGGCTTTCCATCGCACGTCGACAATAAATTCCATAGAGAAAGAAGTCTTTAAAATCAAACATAGAATTCTTTTAAATAATCGAACACATACGTCTTGCAATCGAACATGTACTGCTCCTGCAGAATTATACATACAGACCCCCAAAAGGAATGTAATCTTTATTTAGGTACTCACCGACAGATGGTATGTTGATGCACAAGGCGTGCGATAGCTTCAAGTAGGTACGACCGAGCTCGTACGAGCAGATTTGCTGCACATCGCTAATATCAATGAGCAGGTCTGCAAGATAATAATAACAAAGGCATTACACAATGCAGCTTTATGCGAACACTTTAGTGGCAGACTTACGGGACGTGCCTTGCGTACGACAGGTCATATAGACACAGGCCGCATAGATGTGGGTGCTCCTCCGGCCACGGGTCAGATTTCGATTCAAAGCCAATTTGAAAAAGTTGACGGCCGTGTCCGCGCAATGCTGCGACAGTTGCAGCTGCTGGCACAGGAGCGTTATGTCCTTCTTGGCCTTTTTTATTGTCACCTCACGCGACTCTGTGCCCGAACCGACTTGAAACTTTCCATAGCCGTAATTGGTGGCGCCTCCCGATGACTCGGCCGAAACAAACTGGCCAATGGCGGCGGCACCGTGGCCCAGTTCCTCGAATTGTACTTCAGAGACAATAAGCGAATCCTCCAGAACAGATCCGCAGTTCATGCACACTAGCCAGGGCAATAAAATGAATTGAACATCGCGGAAACTGAATGGGGTTTTGCCAACATACCCCGATCTCCTCGTGCACTGTCCTCCTCTATCTCATTAGAGCCGCAGTTGCGGCACTTGAGACCCGTAGACATGATATGCACCTAGCGTTTAAGCTGCTTTCGTAGGCAGATTAAATTGATTGGAAAGTCGGGAAAAACACGTCAGGGCGACGTCAATACGGAATGATATTCTGCAAAAACAATCTTCGCTACCTCATTGCATTGCTCACTGATTTTATTTAAACAATCGCTGAATTTGTAAAAATTGCCAGTGCACGCGTTTGACTGCCGAGCATCACATTTCCAAACAGCTGTTTCAGCAACCTAGAGGTGGTCGCGTGAGTGTTAGTGCCGACACAAAGAGGCAATTGCACAAATCGAACAGAGCTGTTTTGAAATTTCTGCTCTCAGTTTTCAAGAGTTCAAACATAGTATGTTCATGTTCTGTTCCGAAACGTTTCTATAAAAAGTGAACAGACCACGAACGGAATTAAGCACAACTCTTAGCATTTACTTTGAGATTGAATTTAAATATGCTATCTAAACCAGATTTTTTAAAATATTCCCAAACGCAAAGATAAATTATTTTATATCAATTGGTACCAAATGTAGCGTACAAATAAAAACTTAAATATTATGAGAATTTATTAAATCTTTATGGCAATGTTTTTTTTTCTACCCGAGAAAAAATATTGTTTCGCACATTCATATGAAATTTATGCATGTTCATGTTTGTAGTCAACTGTTTGTATAATGCAGTGGTAAGAACACTTGATTTCTTTTGCAATATTGGTAAAACTTGAACGATGTTGCTGAGACAGAGAAACAAAACAGCACACTCTTCGTTTCTCACCGCGATGGAGCGCAGGTCAGACTGATAATTCGCATACACAGAGGAACAAGGGATGGAGTTCATGTATAATGTATGTACAGATAATTTCCTTATCAATTTATTTGCATTATTGCTATAAAAAACAAGACAAAGACCAGAGTTTCCGAGTTCGAGTCGACCATTCAATGTAGTCCCATCATTTGCAATGTCGGCAAGAATTGCGTCGTTAAAGCTGCACGGAATAGTAGTCAGCCGATTTTACGTTATGTGGACCGCCATAGAAGTCCAGCACGAATATATTCTGAATGTCCAACTCGCAGAGATAAAAATGGTGCGCTTAAATAAAAATTAAGTTAGATAAAGTAGGAGACCAATAAATGCATTTCTTTACCTTTCATCCAATTGATTGCCGCTGGATGACGCTTCTCAAACGTCGCCAGCGCATTTTTGTAGTCAGCAGCACTTGTTGAGATCTACTCGTATGTACATGAATAATATTTTAAAATTAGAAAATTATACTTTGGTTTTAAAGCGTAAAACATACCTTTCTAACCTGTCCACTAATCATAATACGCGCACAAGTGGGCTCCATAGGATCTTTGTTGTTATTCTTACAGTTTAGAGTTTGTTCGTCCGTAAACAAAAAAGTAACTTTATTGTTGCGCTGCCAGTCCGGTCCCGTAAAATCTAGATCGGTTAAGAGGAAGTGTATTTTACCAGTGGATTTGCCAGATGCGTCATTATCGTCCACGGATATAATATTGACCATAGGATAGTTTTCCACAATCGCGTTTGTTGAAATACTTCCTACCGACGCCCAATTGGCCTGATGCACCAGTTGGCGTGCTATCTTTGCATGATTCAGTTCCTGATCGCGCCTAAACTGGGCTATTATTCGTGCGTCCTGCAGCGCAGAGTAACCATAGGTGCTGGTAACGGCAGCGCTGATAAATGCGAAAATCAGCAACAGTGTTTGGCTGGTGTACATAATGCTGGACCACAAAAAAGTATTTTATTAAAAGTAGAAGTACTTTAGAAGCAGCTGTTTAATGCCGACTGAGAGGCATTTTGCCAATGAATAAGGTTTTAAAAAGATTTCTGTGCGAAGGAACTGCGCTTTGAGTGGAAAATAAATACAATGAGAATGACTTATCAAATAAACATACATACATACTATACATACATACAACTTATGTATATATTCACATTGTATACAATCCAATCAAAGGGGGTTTTTAACTTTTATCTTATTACTATAATAGGGCAAAGGGACTATCATACTCCCTGCTTTATATACTCCTTCGATTTTACCTATTTCCAATAAGACTATTAATAATGGCTGATTGTCGAATATGTGTTCATAAGAAAGCTAATTATAATAATAACAAAATTCAAAACAGCGGCATCAGATGGACTGCTATTTATTCTTCGACCTCAAATTTTTTATAAGCTAGACTGGTCGGTCCAGTATCATAATCGCATGCATACATATACATACATATTTACATAGTACATACATACCATACATATAATCTTAACTGTCTTATCATGATTGCAATGGATGGAAGCGTCACAAACCCCATTCAAATCATACATGTACATACATACATATGTACATACATATGTATGTATGTATTAGATACATTAACTTTAAAGTTTTTATGTAAATTCTTACCAAAGGTTGTGTTACTAATGCTTTCTACTCGTATCTATTCAGTCCCATGATTTCTAACACAAACAAAGAACAAGCAAACCACTTATAGGTACCTACATATGTATGTCTGTATGTATGATCTCACAATCCGCCCGCTTTGTTTCTTACATTGACCTTCGGCACTGTTCCTTTTGTGGGGTCTTACCTATATATTGTGCGTTGACTGGCTGAGTTCTTGGTCTGTCGTATTTTACCTCCAAACTGACTGGCCGACGTGCGCCTCGCTTGCTGTTATCGCCGCCTAAGCGAGCGTCACACAAAGAGACGGTTACAGCTGTTTTTTGCATACAAAACAAATGCGCATATCCCCGGCAGTTATGAAAACTGGTTCCAAAAGTGAGTAACTGGTTCCTTTCCAACCAACAGTTATACCTTCCGTTAGAATGGCATTTTCGCAGCATTAGTTTTAGATCTGTAATACCAGACACCAGTTCATTTGGAACACGACAAACAGAGGCATGTTCAATAGCTGGGCATTTAGCGTTGCCAGCTAGTTGTCAGTGTAAGCGCAGATTATATCAAGTCCGCGAACGAAAGGTGGCTGCTATGTACTAGCATTTGAAAATGGTATGGATTCATAAATTAACACTTTATTATTTATTCTTCGAATATGTTTGTTTCTTTAGGAATAGCTTTACATTTAACTTGACATTTGATTTTACTTTTAATAACCTGCACATTTATGTTTCATCGACATTAAACAATTATTGTTTTCCTTATTCTCAGTTTACTCAAAGGATGCGACTTAAATTTTTGTTTGCTTTTAAGTTTTCAGACAATTTACTTTAAATAGGTATTGGTATTATTTTAAATATTTCGTTTTTATTCTTTGGCGTCTGCATTTCAGGTGTGCGGACGTTTTTAACAATTGTTATTGTATTTGTATTTTGTTACGATTTTGTACCGTTTGTAAATTTCGTACTATTTGTTTGGTTTGTAATTAAATTACTTTTGCCATTTTCTGTTTAATGCAACTGCTTACAGTTAGATATTTGAAAAATATATCGATTCATGTAGTTAAGTTTGAATGTTTCGTTGATTTATTCACTTTGTTGAAATTTAAAGCCCTTTTATGCAAAAGGGCTTTAAATTTCAACAAAGTTATCGTTGCAATGCGCAACATAGAGCGGTTCATATAAAACTTGTTACGCTTTGCAGTTCCGCAGTTTGGTTTTAAAAACTCTAAGTTTCAGTTACAAAAATAAACTAGAAATGTATTTAATAGACAATGTTTTGAGCTGTTCAAGTAGCTTATTTGTTTCCAGAAGTAGTTCTACAACATTGATAAGTATGTGCTTGCATTATTTTAATTTCTTGATTTAGTTTGCCCTTTCTAAGTACTGTCTCTTGCTTTCTGCATACAAATCCACCCAGAAACTGCCTTTGATACATACACACACATATACATATATATAAGTGTTATTTATGGTTTTTATAAAAATTTCAGTTTGCCATACAAATATCGTTGATTATAGTAGCTAAATGCAATTAAATTATATTTAATACACATGCATGTTATTTATTCTTACATTTATTGGCAATTGCAATTTTTTCGCTGCCACTAACACTGAAGGTAGTTTTTCACATTTGGAAACAATATATATATGGTATGTTACTATACTATTATAATTTTGCTCTATGGCTAATACATACGTAAAATGATTCCTTGTGGAACAAGTTCGTTAATGGAGCCAAACACAAAAGACAAACCATTTTTTTTTTTTTTTCAATTTTAGGCTTTCAGTTTTTTTTGTGTTTTTGTTTATAGTTACGTTGATGTTGAACAATTGTGTTTAATACTTTGCATTACCTCTTGCGTATTTGCTGCTTAATCAAAGTATGTCTAATTTTTATATGTATATAATATTAATATTTTTTAAACAATTCCTTGGCGCATGAGTGATCTCGTTTTCAACATTAAATTTAGATATTCGTGAGGTTTTTACAACATCAATTTTCATAACTTTCGGGTTGTTACTTGTTTTTTGCCATAAAACAAATTTAGAATGAATTGAAAACTGTGCACATTAATTATATCGTTTCTGAATTCTTGACTAGCTTGGAAGCAAGTGTGACAAATGACCAAATAAATGGATTTGTGCCATGGAAAGGTTCAACTAAAATTAAACTTAGGAAAAGTGTAAATAAGGGCAGTTCAAATGACATCAAAAAGACTCTCGAACAGAAGAGGCGGTTGCACACCCACCCGTCGTGCATTGGTATAACATTTTAAAGCTATAATTTGCCAGCCATTACGCAGAGTCCCGTCCTTCCTCATCGACTGCGGCTCAGCTCAGCGCGCATGTGTAGCGCAGCAAGTGTTAGCGTCGCTCGTTGCTGCCACTGGCGCCACCCGCCTGCTTTCCCTGCGCCTGTTGCACCGTCTGAAGCTCGTACTGATAGTAGCAGTCGTTGCCCACATAGACAGTGCGCCAGACGCCATCCACATCTCACATTTGCCGATAAGGGGAGTGCATCTTGAGCCACTGCAGCACCAGGGAGGGGCCGCCGGCCTGTATCTCGGGCGGAATTGTGCCAAGCGGGCACTTGTCGATGTTCAAATACTTGAGATTCTGGCAGAGGGCCAGTTCATAGGGCAGTTTCTCCAGGCCCGGATTCTGATTGATATACAAATTCTCAAGGCTCTCGAGCGAGCCTATCTCCTCAGGCAGGAACTGCAGGTTATTCTCGCTTACGGAGAGATGCGTTAGGTTGCTGAGATGGCCAATGCTGCGCGGCAGTATGGTAATCTGGTTCGTCTGCAGAATTAGTCGCTGAAGCTCGTGAAGCAGTCCGATCTCGTTGGGCAGCACTTCGATACGATTCTCCTCGAGGTCGAGAATGCGCAGCTTGCGCAAATTACCAATGGTATTGGGTATTTTCTTGAGCATGTTATTGGACAGTATGAGTATCTCAAGATTTTGCAGATTCATTATGTCATCTGGCAGCTTTTGCAACGCATTGGTGGCCAGATTAAGCTCCACCATATTAACCCACGTGCCCACGTCCAGAGGCAGCGCCGTCAGCATGTTCTCCTTCATGTTCAGTTTGGTCAGGCCCTTGGCGCGTGAGAATATACCATACGGTATCTTATCAATGCGATTGTGCTCCAAATTAATGCTGTACACGTTCGTGAACTGTGCCGGTCCGCCAGTTGGATAGCTGGTGAACTGATTGCGCGACAGCGTGATAGTAGTCAGTGAGCTGAGGCTCGCCAGCATACCATCTGGCAGCTGAGTGATACCATTGCCCTCCACGTTGAACTCGTCCATGCACTTGCAGTTCTTCAGCGAGGCTGGCACGCTGGTCAGCCGATTGTAGCGCATGCCCAGCCGCACCAATGACTTCAGGTTGCCAATGCTCTCGGGTATGTCCAGCAGCTCGTTATGCTGCAGGTCCAGGGCGCTCAAATTGACGCAGTTCCCAATATCCTCCGGCAAATGCTCCAGATGATTATGCGATACATCGAGCGTGGTTAGGTTTACCAATGCGCCAATAGCACTGCCCAGTTCCCGAATTTTGTTCTCGCGCAGGCTCAGCATTGTAAGGTTGACCAGATTACGGAGCTCGTCCGCCACAGCCGTAATGCGATTGAAGCGCAGATATAGCGTTGTCAGCGAGCGCAGTCTGTATATGACCGGCGGAATCTCGGCCAACTTGTTGTGGCGCAGATCCAGCACCTTAAGTTGTGTGCAGTGCTGGAGACTCTCGGGCAGCGACGTCAACGAGTTCTCATTCAATGCCAAATTGCGCAAATTCACCAAACAGCCAATTTCTGTCGGCAGCTGGCCAATTTTGTTGCTGTATAAATATAGCTCGGTGAGGTGCACGCACTCCTTAACCGTATTGGGAATGACTGTTATGGAGGATTTGCTCAAGTCCAGTCGTTTAATACCTGCAATATACCACAAACGGGATTTGTTTATAACTATTTGGCAGGTAATAATATATTTTATAGTAAGCTACTCTTAAACGCAAACAACAGGCTTTTCGACAACCTGGTAAAGGCCGTAATTCATCATCTTATGCAAATAATAAGAACTAAATTTTTCCCATAATTTTAGTTACATTTAACTAAACAATTATTAGTATTAGCTCATAGCTAAGTGGACCCAATAAGGTGCAATATTGATACGCACCTTCGTCTCGACAGCGTTGCAACGCTTTGATCACATCCTGATCCGCCTGTATGGGTTTGCTCTTCTTGGTGGTCGGCTTCGGCTTGTTCGATTCCGGATGCTTCACTGTCACCATTTTGGGACGCGTCTCGGGCGGCATGTTGTTGCTGCCGCTGCTGCTGCAATTGTTGTCGTTGTTGTGTGGCTGATTATGGTGCCCGTTACTCTGTTGACCGTTGCTGCCGTTGTACGCCGATGCCTCAGAGTGTCCTCCGCCGCCAAAGCAATTTGTGGTTAGTGCTTCTGTAACGCCGCCTCCGCCGTTGCTTTCCCCTTGCCCTGTGGACGATAATGATGTGGTCGATGCCGTTGCACCCGCCGAGGAACACAAGTTCATAATTTTGCCCAGTGTTGCGGTCGGCGGCGACAATATGTTGCCCAGAAGTTTACCAAAACAACAACAGCCAAAAGAAAACGTAGCTGCTGCCTGCAGGAAGAAAGTGAAAGAGGGCGATATTAAATGCATTAAGTCTGATGGCCACTAAAGGCATCAATGGGACGCATTCTAACTGCCGTGGTCAGTTGGGTGGGCGCTGAATGATTGGACAGTTATATGCGTCACTTGCCCGACACACCACAAAGCACGTCATCGCTATTTGCTCAACAGGCGGGCTTAACAAACATACCAGCATTTGGCAGGCGGTACATACGGTATTTGTTTAAAATACATTTCGTCACCAATAATGGCAAACGCGATTGCTTAGTCAGTTTAATGAAGGGGCATTAATCACACACGATCCATAAAATCTAAACATTTGTTGATCAAGTTTGAAAAGGGCGTTGTTTAATAAAAATAAAACACACGTTTAACACGCCTAACTTACTAACGCTTGAGCTATTTACCCATCACCCTCGCTTACAAGAAAATAGTATTCCTGCATTGTCATGAGCATAGAATTATACGAGCATACTATACTATACTGCGCCAGTACTATCTAACTTGTTATACAAGAAATTATGGGGACTTTCTATGCTGATCAAATTAATACATAACTGCCTGCATACATATACATACATACATACATATGTACATGTGAATATAGAGTGGCGCTCAACTAAATAGATTTTAGATTCGATATGATAGTAGTTCGGAGTATTTTGAAAATCATCAAACACACATAAATGTATGTACATTCACATAGTTGTGAACTGAGCAGCAAGTTTCTAAAAAGTATGGAAGTGTTCTCACTTATTTAAGAATTTCTGCGTAAAAATAAGTTCAAAAATGTACTCTTTTTGAAAATAATAAAAAACTATTTTGTGGATTAATTGAATAGAATAGGTTCATATTTTAAAGTTTATGTTAGGAAAATAATTGTGGAGGAAGCATGTGACGTTTCAAATTTTTAAATTACATATTTAAAATTGATTAAATTGCCCATTTGCACAAAATTATCCATATACGACGATAAATCTTATGGCACTCATACACACTTAATTGTTTTGAATTTTACAAATATTTGTATTCACATTGGTCGGATGGTTTTCGATATAAATAAGTAAAGGCGATGGTTTCTTGAAAATCTTGCTAACAATTAAATTGAATTAACAAAATGATTTCAAAGTCAGAAAACGAACCGACCACTTTTAACTTTTAATTATGCAGACTTTTGAGTGAAACGAACTTAACACAAGTAAACCGTAAAAACACACCTCGCTATCCATGCTGCTATTGGAACTCAAGTTAAATGTTGAATGCGAAGAAAGCAATGGTGACCAAATTATTTACTGTAAAGAATGCGGTCACTCTATCACTCTTACTCACGCTACTAAGCAATTTGTGTGCCCGGAAATTTGTTCGTCACAATGCATGGTTTGAAGCGAAATCAAACTTTAATCAGCAACCAGGAATACCCGTCACTTTATTAAGCGTTGTTCGTCACAGAGAGGCTTGACTGTCTTACTTTTGCTTTTGTTCGGCGTTGTCTGATTAAAATGCGACACAACAAGTTGCCCATAAACATTTTCAAACTCTACGCGCAAATCAATAATTACCCAAACATGCAGACGCAAATATAAGTAGATAAGACACGCACCAATCTATCCGATATATACATACATATGTATGTATGTATGCCCATACACATAAGTATATATACATATGTATGTATGTATGTACAACGTCTGTTGTCAAAATTGTTGCTACATACTTATTTATGCTTAAAGCGTTTATTAATTTCGACCGTAACAGCATGTCCATCAAACGCCCACTCGCCACCCTCGTCTGGGCCCAGCGTGTCGAAGCAAATGTCAAGGTCAGTCTGCCATGGCAGCCAATTCCAGGAATAGCCACGAAAAAAGGTTAAAGGTGCAGTCATGGGCAGCAGCAGAAAAAACGACAATTACAATAACAGCAACCAACAGAGCGACCAATTGAGGCATAACACTTGATTGCACAGACCGCTAACGCCTTGAATCGGACCGCACACTGATTTTTAATCAAATTTAACAAGACACTTGGTCTCCAGCTCAAATTTCAAGTACATCGAAACTAATTAAAAGGTCGTTGAAGTGGAAGATGCGTCGTCGAAGTCAGCCCACGGCCTTGGAGGTCAATGGAAAAAAACGTACATATGCCGCGTGCAATGCTTGGGAAACTTCTGCGCCCCTCTTCTACTTCTCCATTGAACGATACAGCCACAAAAAAGTCAAGTGATCAACAAAAGGAGGCAGTGCCTGATTCTGATGCTGATTCATTCAAATTCCCATTGCCCATTCTTTACTTTACTTTTGTTTGATAATTATGGCGCATTACTGTTGTTGTTGTTGTCAGTCGGTCGCATAAATTTGGTTCTGGTTGTTGTTGTTGTGGCTGTCCGCTAAAAGAGGAAACAAAGCGAATGCACGCACACACCTACATATGTATGTACATTCATATGAATGCAAAGAAAAAGACGCCCACACACAAACATACATATTTGTACTTACATACTTATGTACACATTGTAGGGTAGGGTAGGACTGCATTTCTTACAACAAATTTCAATAAAAGCATACAATTGATTGTGATTGCTGAAATTTTGCAACTGGTGTTTATCTATTCTTCATTTTATTTTTGCGCAAACACACAATACACACACGCACACACACACTATACGACTGGCACTCATTGCTTATCTTAACTATTATTTCGTAACTAGCACCTTAATATGTCCTCGGTTGCTTCAGCATGCTGCACTTTAACGACAATTTAATGACAAATTACTTCACACTGCTCTTGTTGTTGCTCAGAACAACAAATGTTTTATGATTACTGCGATGTTCAAGTGTGACCGAACATTACTTTTGTAAAAATGAACGCGCGCCAAGTGACCGACAGCCTAAGAAGAGTTGCCACATCGATGCAGGTGGGTTACTGTCACGAATACTGGTTGGTGTACAGGGAATCAAGTGCACCTGCACTTGACGTTCGAGTTTAGCAATTTGCAATGCAAATTAAACTGTAAATGTCTAGCATGTATGCACGAAAAAGGTAGAACATGATGTCGATTCCAGCCACAACGTTCACTGCAGTAATTGTATAGAGTGAGAAGTGGAAGCGGGGCAAGCAACTGTCGTACTAACTGTTCAAATGGCGACATTTAAGGTCTGCGTGGTGTAGGTCGTCAAGAATTTCCAGTGACTGGCAACGACACCGCAGAATCCCACACAAGCAACTAAATTTTTAGATGTTTTATAAAAATGTCCTACAATCTACAAATCGCCGCAATGTATGCTACAAAACTTAGCCACAATCCGTCACACACACGCACGGGCACCGCAGCATGCAGACACTCGCACACACACACAGACAGACACTAAGCACATAATATGTATGTATATACATATTTACATTAAATTGTTATACATAATTTATGTTGCGCACTTTGCACCCACAATGCAGAATGCAATGTCAATATTTGATTGGAAAGATGGATGTGATTAATGAAGAACAAACCTGCTTTAACTTTGCAGCGCGGGAGGCTTTCGTTGCCCTTGATTTTTGGTAAATGTTTAGCACTTTTCTTAACTGCTTGCCTGCGCTTTCTGTCGTCGCTGTTGTCTGGGAATTTGCAACCTTCGGGGACGTTCAAGATACGTTCTTTACTTTCACAAGACTTCACTGATATTTTACAATTTTTATTTATTTTTTGATATTATGCTTCCGCGCTACAAAAATTCGCACACGAAGGGGACAGATTAAAATTCAGCGAATTGCAAAAAAATATATACTTTTTGTTACGGTATTGACGTGATGTTACAACAGTTGAGCCAGAGAGTTGGGTTACACATAAATACACAAGCAGCTATATATCCTGGCAAGCTACGGACTCCTACGAAGTTTGACACATGCGCCTAAAAGCATACGAGCGCCATCTGGCGGCCGTTCAGCCATTTTGCTTGAATCCGCAGCTGTTGGGCCACAGTTCCATCTGCTGGAGCTGGTCGTCGGTTATGAACTCACAAGCCCGCCGTGCTATAATCCGGTAGGCTGTGTAGAGCGAATTGGTGAGATCGGGGATCCAGGAATCAGCATGGTTTAGTGCGTACTTACCCGTCTGGTACTTGCAGTTATAGATGTGCATAACGCAGCTGCTCGCAAAGGTGCGCAGGGAGCCGTGGTATATGGCACAGACCACATTGTAGTACGAGGGACAGACGTCAGGACACTTTTTGGGCCCTGCCAGAAAATTGTGTAGAGTGTTATTTGAGGGTCAAAAATAATTTGTTCACAATTTCACGCACCCTGCCAGGCATGCAACTGACCACAGGTGGGACTGATGGCAGCTATGAGTAGAAGTAGACTGATTCCTGCATTGTTGCCTTGGAGGAAGCTCCAGGATGTCATTCTGTTGGTTCGATGCTATAAGCTATATTAAAATCGAAACTCAGTTTTCAAAATATATTTCATTTGTTTCTCCGTTCAGTTTTTATTTGCTTACAAAAATTGTGTCAACATGTATACAAGGTAGTTGAGTAAATATACAAGTATACGAGTGCATACAAATATATACCAAGCGAAAATGATTGTGTGAATGTCGACACGGGCCCGATTTTGTTGATATTAAGCATCGAACTGTCACTGAACTTATATAATATTCCCGTACCATGTGCATCAGTATCGTATTTATAGCGACACATGTTCCTGGATGTGGACCTACCTGCATAGCACAGCAGGAGCAGGTCGCGCACAGCGGCCTACACGATGTCGCCAAACTGAGAAAAAAACATTCAAAATTTCTTAGTGTGAAGCAGTGAAAAATGTGGAAAGTTTCTAAAAGTAATGTAGATAAACATAATACAAGTTCTTTGTGGATATACGCTCTGGCACATAAGTAATGATTCAACAATAAGAAGGATTAAGTCATATATCCTAGTTTTCCAATAGCTATTTTAAGAAATTTATAATATTTTTGATCAGAATTATTCTACCTCAGCATAACCATAAATTACTACTTCTAAATGAGGCTTTGGGTCATTAGGTGAATGGCTAATATATGAATTGCTTTCTTAACCATCTTATTCATAGGTCCATAGAGAGAGATAGTGGTTTCGTAATTAAACTTATTGCTCGCTTTAAACAATTTCATTTTAACTTCGTTAATTTTATCCAGCATAGTTGTTGAATTGAATTTTATTTGAAAAATGCTTGCAAAACGGATATAATACCTTACAAAATTCTTTTTTATTAATAGCTGTTTGGATGGCTATTTTCGTGGTTTTTGTTAAATATTTAGTTGTTCCAAGAAGTCTAAATATCCTTTGGATAAAGGGAACAATTGTGCATACCTTTTAGATAATCTAAAGATAAGGAGAAAGACTCGCTGCTAGACGAGTGACTCACGCAGTTAACTTTGTGGAGTTCTTAATCCTATACTAATTCACCGACACTCGACTCCATTCTTATAAACAACAAGTACTTACCTTCTCGCCTTCTACACGCATGTAGGTCCAATTCGCACTTGTTTCTAAAGTTGCAGAATATGTCCATTCCCTGGCGGCGTGTGTTACCACAGACGATGTTTATTTCCGTGGTACAAATGGTATTGCATTGCTGACCCAAAACTATTCCGCTAAAAGTCAGAAGTACTAGTAAGCCGGCGAGCAAATTCATTTTGGAGAAAGAGCACGTAATATGAGTTCCGGGACACTTGACGTTTTAATATATAGTAGAAACTGCTTAAATCTTGCAACTAAAGCTGTGCTCTGCTTTAATAGTCGCTTTTGTAATGCCTCCGAAAGGCAATAACCTTAAAACGATTAAATAACAATAACATAATTGATGAACATATTTTTATACTCTGTACATAAAATGTCCTTATACTATATGAATACGCAGAAAAGGTGTATTTTGGAATTTCCCTCCCTCCCCTCTCTCCCCCTCAAATCGTAACTCCCGTAATTCTTGGAATTTCGAACTCAAACTTGGGAAATACCCCTAATCCGTATGCCAAGTTTCATCATGATAGACCGATTTAACAAGAAGTTATATCCATAAAAATATTTGCTGCTGCAGCGCTGCCCCCAGCTGTTGTTGATGTTGGTGCTTTGGTTGACTGCAAACATGTTTACACAGACACGAATAGATGCGCATAGGCATTCATACACTCACATAGATGCAATTGCTTTGTATATGTGCGAGAGAGGTAAAATTTTTTTTTTAATTTTCTTAATTATTTTAATTTTGTAGAATTATTGTAAACACAGAGTATTTCAAAGACGGGACACCCGACTTTAGTTTGTTTTACTTGTCATTAATAAAAAATAAAAAACTTTTTGATTAAGATAAAGATTGTTTTTTGCTGAACCTTTTCCATGGGAAAAGCTGTTCAAACACAGACGGATTTAAAAGGTTCTTCAAAATAATCGGGGAAGGCAAACAAAAAAAACAAAAAACAAAAAAAAAATTGTGAATTGTAAAGGCCTTAGTTGAATCTCAACTGATGGAGTGTCAATATGAATATTTTAATTAAACGTTACTTGTAAAATGCTTTATAAGAAAAAATATACAAAATACGATCCTGCCGTTACAAGGTATAGCCAATCCAAATAACTTGTTTCTTATATTCTCTGTGGAGATAGTAGTAATTCCCTTTCCATGAACCGATTGTTCATTCTAAGAGACAGCATATGCTGTCTTGATGCGTGTTTTTAAACTCTGTTTTGATACAATACTTATATTTTCACTTATGATGGTTTTAACTTTTTAGCTTACCTGTTGAAGTGATGCGTCATATTAGCATATGTCTTAATACAATAATACTATAACAATTATTTACTCAAGTGTTGCAATGCATGCTTATTTTACTGCGAGAAAAATTAAGTAATTGTTCCAAGCTAGCTTACAAAATAGTCTTATATGCCTATAGATTATAGTAGATGTAAATGGTGTTATAATAATATATATCTTTCTTCTTTGACAAGTTTGCTGCATTCAAAAAAATTAGTCCCCTTTTGTAGCACTACCTTGTGAGGTTTCTGAATGTCGATGGAAGAGACTAAAGAAAAAACTAGAAAAGTAGCAATTTAAATAATAAATAAATAAATAAATAGCCTCATTTAGTTTTCATTTTTGCAGAGCATTAATATTAGTCTGAATATTTAATTAAAAATAAATTCAATGAAGGCTTAGTCTAGGCATGAAAAGTAGATTTTAAATGACATCAAACAGTAGTTGCATTGCAGGCGCCAGCTTGAGGTTCTCCCACATAAGCTGGAAAAGGAAATTTACGTTAATTAAAAAAATACTCAAGGCTTATGGATTACTTTATACCGTGTCCCCTTTTACATGCATAGCTGTCCAATACGCAGCGGTTTGAAAAAGTGCGGTAGCGAATATCAGAGCTGCCTTCAGTATCATTCGTATAAGGGAATGCGGCACACACTGGCTGATATATGAACGTACAGATGTCACTGCAACGCTCCTGACATTGTTCCTGGGTGGTGGCCACCATTTCTACAGGCAATCGCAAGATAATTGAACGAATCAGGAATCCAAATAAGACGTCACTCACCAGGCAGGCAGCGGTTCACACGTGTGCAATTTTCGGAGGCAAAGATGCAGCCATTCTGGAATACACGACACTTCTCGTCCACAATGCTCCACACATAGTCCTTGTAGTACGGATTGCAACGGAATCGCAAAAGGCAGTTGTCAGAACAGTCTGACGGTGTAGCTTGAGTCGACAGGCATATGCTGCAAAGCAGGCCAATAAAAAGCGGGAGCTTCCACATACTGGGGTGTCGATAGTGCGCGATTAAAAATATAGTCGAGCAGTACGGCATTTTTATAGCGTGTCTAGTCCAAACAATCCACAGAGCCCGTGCTATTCATAAAGTACGCAGATGTTGCGAAAGTATTTCATTTGACCAGAAACGTGATATAAATTGGTTTTGTTTTAAACAGTGTTGTGGCCGTATGGCTGATTATTCATATATACATGATTTAATTAAATTTGAATAACTACGTTTTGGAAAACACCCGCCATTTACGAAAAACTTCCCACATCTGTGCACAGATGGGCATCTAAATAGTGGCACACTTTTCAAATATTTAGGGCTAATATTTGAATATAAATTGTATGCATTTTAACATAAAATAATACATTTTCTAGGTTTTAGAAAATCGAACAAGCCCGACAGTAAAATACCCTGTATGAATTAATTAATTTAATTAAATAAAAAATATTCAATACATAAATGTACAGTTTCATCATCCGAATAATTTACATCAGAATCGTGTCTATGCATGTTTATATGCGTGTAGGTATGCATTACATAAATAAGTCAAAGCAGCAACAACAAAAGCTGCGGGCAGAGCCTGGGCAGAGATTAAATGCATGGCTACAAATTTCTTTATAATTGACTTATCATGATTTGTCATACGGACCAAATTTGCCAAATTTGAAATCAAAATTCCAAGAATAACGGGAGTTACAGAAAATCATTAATTGCGGGCGAGTGGGTGTGCATAAGAAAAAAAACACATAACTCGGCCTTTCTCGGACTTAGGAGAATCTAGTTCTTACACTTTCTGAGATTCTTGGGTTCATACAGACGGACGGACAGACGGACGGACACACGCAAGTATAATGAGTCCGTATTTCATTACGATTGGTTAATTATGAAAAAGTTATAGCCTTAATATATTCTCTGCCGAAACTCTGCCCGCAGCTGTTGTTGTTGCTGCTGCTTTGACTTATTCCTGTACTGCATATATACACGCATATATGTAGATACTCATAGACACCATGATGTAAATGTATGCTGTTGAAACTGTATATAAGCATGTCTTCATTTTTGTATGTATGGATTCAATATTTTTTATTTAATTAATAAATTTAATTTTTTTAAATAATTTTTTTAAATAATTTTTTTAAATTTTATTTTATTTTTTTTTGTGTACAGTGTATTTCACTGTCGGCTTGCTCGACTGTGGCGTTGTCTCTTGTCTTACATTAAGAATTAAGGAAACTGGAAAAAGTCAACCACTTTTGCAAAAACTAAGGCTATTGACCTAAATGGGGGTTTCCAGTAATCATGCAAACGTGTTCTTATCTGTGATCGTTGCGTGTGTGTTTTTATATATTTGCGCAGTATTTTAATATTGTTTTCATAACAAAATACGATTGCTCTGAATGTACGAATTAACCCGATTATACCGGGCTACGAGTATGCCGAAGTAATAGCGAACAATGGGAATTGTTGTATGTGTGTGCGAGTTATGTTTGCTAATTCATTAATATGTATCAATATCAATATTGCATATTGGTGTCATTGGAGCAATTGTAAATTAAACCGCATAGATCAGTGGTAGGTCGAGTAGTGTAGGTGGAGTCGCCGGCCCCATCTTAAAGATTAGAAAATTTCAATACTTTCAATTAAATGCATTTATACTTTACAAAAATATTTTCCAATGGAACAATATTCAATCATTGCAAGGAACACTGGTTTTTAAAACGAAACTTTCTGCTGTTTTCAAAAAAAACTTCAATAAATTTATGAGGCCTGGCAACGATCAACTAGCTAGCAGGAATATTGAGAGTTTGCTCCACAGGAGTAATATTGAAATTTTAAAGTTCTTAAAGATTAAAGACATAAAAAAATAAACTTATAATTATTTACCTTATACCAAATCATGCTAGTAGCTCCAAAAGCTTAAGTTTGATGAATAGTTTTGACGTAAAAATCATGCAATTAAGAATTGGAAACTAAATAGATTCGAGTATACTGCCATGAAAACGTACAGATTTTATTTCGAAGTAAGCTACTCTATTTGTAACAGCTTAGAAAAAGTTTTCAGTCAGTTCTAAAAAATACTACACACGTTCTACATGTTCTCCATCAGTCTTCAATTGACTGCTCTTGTAATATGAAATGTTTTCTATTTTGCTCTCCGATTTTCATTATTTTCAATGTGAGTTAAATCATGGTTTCTTGATTGTTTGAGCTACTAAGGTACGCATATTGTAGGAAGAATAGGCTAGGACAGATTTCCAAAGCCGATGTTTAACTCGGCTGGTTATGCGCGCTATACTTCTCGAAGGTATACAAATTCATTCGTGATCGTTAATCTAATCCCAATTTCAAACAAATATATTATCATGTGCCAATGTGTTATTGAGTTTCCTTGGATAGCTACTAGATAACATTCTTTCCTCATATCAAAAATATTGTTTTTATATTCTTTCTCTCTGAGGTATGTATAAAAATTGTTTATCGACTTAATTTTAATTTATTCCAACTATAGAATACGAAATAATCATTTTAAGTATCTTGTAATCATTTTCCAATTTGCATAATTGGGATATTGTGTTATACAATTTCCAATCTTTTTGAAGTACCAACTCCTGGCAATTCTATCTTTATTCAATATTAAGTAAGTATGGACATGACATTTGTTGCATATTATAACTATTGTAACATCTTCCATAGCTTTCTATCTTTGCTTTTGGATGTGTATTTTCTCTTTATTTATTGCTACATCGATCAATGGAGCGTACCATCAAAAACTGTTCTAATTGAAACTAATATATGGAATTTGCTTATATTAATCTTAAATACGATTAACATATTAAAACTACTTAAAACAAATTGCTTTTGACTCACTTGTGGGGTTTCAAGACAGTTTCTTAGTCCACAGGTAGTGTATTAATTTCAGCTTTCTTCAAGTTCAAACAAAAGTACATAATCTGAAATATAGGCCAACTATATATAAATGTAGATGTTTTTATTTAAGATCATTTAACAGATGATAGCTTTGTAGCTTACGCACCTTTATCTGATCATACTCTGCTGACAATTTCAATAATTTCTTCATGCATACAAGAAATAGATTCGATTCATATAGATTCGAGCCACAATTACGCTTTCTATTGAAAGGAATTGAAAACATATAAACATTTGAATTTAATGCTTTTGAAATTAAGTTTCTAAAATGTTTTGTGTTTGTGCAGATGATGAAGATAACAATTCTTTAATATTCTATATCTTTTTAATTGGAACGTAACGCGCTGCTTGATTTTGTAGCAAAATAAACAAAATTCTATCTCACATGATTTCACCAGTTTGCAGAATGTATATTTTTAAAACAACATGAAGATTATTGTAACATCTTTCGAGGAAAACGAAATGAACTATTTGATTTGTTTAAAATAAATAATAATAAATAATAATAAGTAATAATAATAATATGAAAACACGAGACAGCTTACATCTTTAATAAAATCGGAACTAAAAGCTATAACTTGTCTCTTAAATAAGCAGACTGCAGTGCTAAGACAACAACCGCAAACCGCAAATTTTTATAATTATGCTCTTTACATCTGTGGGAGTAATTATTATAACTTAACTTTCTGCAACGATTATTTGCAGTCAGCAGTTGATTGTTGCCACATTTTCGAGGCGTGTCGAGAAGGTGGCGCTTGACCCGACGAGCATCACAGTCAAAGGCCAAAAACATAAGGTTCAGATACACTATAGCACAATACAAAAGTACACTAAGTTGCATTTTGGAGAGTTACTCAACACAAACTAGAGAAGAAATACACGTAGATGTACTTTTTCCACTTATTCCTTGAATTAATTAGTGCCAGAAAATGTTGTATTATACCCTGCACCTAAACCATTAAATTGTTGATTATCCATTTCACCTTGCGATTAATTGAAAGCGAACCACTGTTGAATCGTACCAGTTTCCAGAGCATTGAGGTGTGTGGGCTCCATTGCACTTGGCCAATTGGCCACTTGTTGTGGCTAAAAGCGGAGAAAGATCTTCTTGAGTGCGTTAATCGATGCAAAGCCTGAAGCTTTTTGAAAGTCATTGAGTGTTGTTACGCAGGTTTCCTGTTTTGCTTTTTCTTGTTTTTTTTTTGTCTTCTTTTTTATCTTTGGCTTTGCTGTTCACATTTCGAAAGTAAAATCTACGCATAACTATGTTTATTTTTGATTGACTTTGCCGCTTGAAAGTGCTACACTTTGGACCGAAATCAAAATCCGCAAGTGTTGCTGCCATAAATCTTTCCCAGATACAGGTACGATCGCTGCCTTCCCCGTTCAACTGTCTGTCCCTGTCCATGTGTCTGTCTGTCAGTCATTTGGGCGACATTTGTATGGTTTTGGGCCGTCTGAGACGCCCACTCGTTGTACACTGGGCTTGGACAATCAACAACGCGCGAATGAGATTAATGTGTTTTCTTTTCTTGCTGCTTCATGTTTATTTATTTAGGGTTAGCTGCAGGCAAGAAACGGTGGCTTTCAATAATTATTAATGATGTAATTAGTAAATGTAATGTATGCGTTCGGTAATTTGTTTCGGTCTTTGTCGAGGAGGCTGTTGTGTTTGTGGTCTTCCCTTGGAACACATTTCTTCTGCCTCTTGTTTCGTAAAGCAAATTTTTGGCTTGCGACCCGTGCTGGCATCAACAAATCGATAAAGTTGCTTTGTGGGCTTGTTGCCATCCAATTTTATCTTCCGCTGTAGACGGAAAACACGTAATGACAGATATTTCTTTAGCTGCTCTAATTGAAGATGCAATAGAAGATCGGATTACGGTATTTGTGGCAAGCGCTGGCCGACCCCTTATTGTTGCGACACTGCTCTGTAGAGCGGGTAGTGAGGCACCACCATGCTGTACTATATGGCTAACATTGCCCCTTGGACAACGTCTAGCAAAATGGCGTTGTGCCCATTCCCGTCTGTCTTTAAAGGGTTATCGAATTGATTCGTGCCATGAAACTATTGGTATGAATAATTGTTATCGCTCCATACACTGTCGAGGTTCGCCCTTAACACTCGTACACCATTTATATGGAGCTATGTTGAATCTGATTTGCATTATACAGCTAATTAAATGCTCCTAGTGCCAATTGCTTTTTTGAATATTGGGGAAACCCAACTCCGCAAGCACAATTAAATTTTGAAAAGTTTTTAATTTAATTTAAGACATGGTTTAATAAAAACTCTTTATGTCTGTTTTAAATAACTTAGTTGCTATTTGATTTGATTAGCGCTTCCAAATTGACAAAAGAAAGAAATAATGTTGATTTTCTTTACTACAAGTATGGTAGTCCATTGTGTTAAGCTATTAGGGAATTAAAATACAAAAATTACCTCGGGTTGAACTGTGCTTTTCTGCTTTCACATTGAGTTTACAATAATTGTAAAGAAATTGATTGCATCAAGAATTTTTAAAGAGCATATGTACATATCTTGCACACGTTTAATATTCAGGAAAACTTTTGTAATTTTTTGTCGTAATATATGCATAAAATGAACAGCTGTTCTTTAACAATCTGGCATTATTTCTGTATTTAAAATGTTGGGCATCAACTATATAAGCTCATCAACAAGTGGTTGGGACATAACACAAGCAATATCTCCTCACGTTCGGATCCAATTTCTCACATATACAAGTAAATAATCGCGCAATGAAAGTTTTTATTGCTTTCTTAATTCTTCTGAGCTGCTGCCAATGGGGGCTGGCAAACAATTTGAGGGGCAAACGCTGTAATTTTGCATGTCCCTATAACTTAGAGCCCGTTTGTGGGGAGGCGAAGCGAGGGCAGCAGACTCTTAACTGTATATTTAATAATTTTTGTGAAATGCGACGAAGTCGGTGCCTGAATAATTTGAGTGAGTTTCCTAACCTTTAAGAAATTTTAAAATAATACTAAATACTCTCTTAGGTTGGCGCAGACGCACCCATCGGCATTGTCGGAACACGTCTCTCGCTTGTTTAAGCTTGCTTCGTTAAACATGGTTATTAATAAGACTAAATTAACTTGAATAATAAGTACGTGGTATATATTAAACAAATATCACCGCATGTCTTTAAAAATGTGTTTTTAATAAACAAATTGCGAGGACAGTGAAATTTTTTTTACTCACTGAAGTTAGTGCATTTTTGATTATTGAAAGAATGTTGGTAATACTACTATCTGGCTTAAATATTTACACAAACGAATATAATGCACCTGGTAAAAACATTGATATCAATTTATCAACCAATTTGTAGAAAAGCCAAAGCTTTTTTCTCTCAGCCAAAAGAACACAAGAATTAATTGTCGGGATATCTGTTGAGATTAAAGTTTTATTGGGCTCACCATATTCATGGCAAATGCGGATTATTCATTAGATACGAACTTATGTATGTACTATATTTTAATATATTGCATAAAGTACAGGTGTAACAGAAACGAAACTTACGACTACTTGTATATTGCCTTAGTCTAGAGTAATTAGAGGTAACACCTGCGCTTACGCATGCAACGCTCGCAACTGCTCTGCCAACAGTCGGAGGCAACCTCAGTTCTAAGTTAAATCTGAACAAAGATGTTGCGGTCGATGTGGGTGATCCACTGCTTGCTCGGCTTTTCCTCCGGCATATCACGAGTTCTGCGCATACCGCTTCAAGTCCAGCAAAGACAGAGTTCCTTTGAAAGCTTTCTTTCGTCGAACAGTTCAACGCAGACCCTGTTGCTGAATAATCGTGAAAATTTGGAGTACTATGGCAGCGTAGGAATGGGCACACCTCCGCAGACATTCAAGGTTCTCTTCGACACAGGATCGGCCAATACGTGGCTTCCCTCGAGCAACTGTCCACGCTCCAATAAAGCATGTCACCAACACACTCGTTATGAAGCAGCCAAGTCGAAAAGCCACGTAAGGCAGGGTCAGAGTTTTTTGCTCAGATATGGCGCGGGCACAGTCAGTGGCTTCTTGTCGCAGGACACTCTGAACGTGGGCGGAGTACAGCTACCAAATCTGGTGTTCGGCGAGGTGGTATATCATCAGCAGGAAATATTCGCTAGCGTAACCTTCGATGGCATTGTCGGCCTGGGCATGGATCGAATAGCCTGGCATAACACAACGCCCTTCCTCACTCAACTCTGCCAACAACAACTGCTGCCGTCTTGCATCTTTTCGGTCTTCTTGCGCCGGGAGGAGGGAGAGGTGCAAGGAGGTGAACTGATTTTAGGGGGCATAGATACCTCACGCTTCACAGGAGCACTGCAATATGTGCCATTATCCGATACGGGCTATTGGCAATTTGAGATGGATGGCGTCTATGTGGGACAGAGGAAAATTGCGGGCACGGTAAGCACGATTGTCGACACAGGCACATCGTTGATGTTGGTGCCAATATCTTTTTATCAGACTCTCGTGTCGACCATTGATCCCCATGGTCTGTCCAGCAGCCTTGCCCAAGCTTGTGTGTTCGAAAAGTTACCAGATATTGTGCTGGTCATCGGCGGAGTTAAGTTTGTGCTCAGTCCGACAGATTATTTGCTCGAAAAGCAAACCAAATCTGGCAGGATGATATGCGTCAGTGGTATCATACCAATTGATTTAAGCTATTGGGTGTTAGGCGACGTATTTCTGGGCCGATATTACAGCGTTTATGATAGAGAGAAACTGCGCATTGGCTTCGCTACGGCAGTTCAGGACTAACCGAGCACAGTGGTTGTGAACTAATTGAAAACAAGAGAGAACGCTACAGTCGAGCAAGCCCGACAGTGAAATACCCTGTACCCAGGTAAACTTCCGTCACTGAGTTATATGCGCCCAAAGCAGCAGCAAAAAGAGGAAGAAGAAGAGCGAACTTGTTGCTGCAGTTTGTGGGGGTTGTACTGGCGAGAATTTGTTTCGCTAATAACTTTTCTTAGAATCGACAGAATTAAATTAAATTTTCAACAACAGTAGATATTTCTTTATAAATTATGTGTGCAAAGTTTGGTTTAGGTAGCATTTGAAATGTGGAAGCTATTGACGAAATTCTGCAGCGGGGGAAGGGGTGGGGGGGGGGGGGGGGGTAACTTAAAAAAAAATAATAAACTAGTCCTTACTCGGATCTAGGAGAATCTGGATGCCAACTTTGGTTATTCTAGCTTTTATAGTTTCTGAGATCCTCGCGTTCATCCAGACGGACAGACGGACGGACATGTCTAGATCGATTTCTCTCGTCATGCTGATCAAGAATATATATACTTTATGGGGTCGGAGACGCTTCCTTCTGTATGTTACATACTTTGCACAAACCTAATATACCCTTTTTACCCTACGGGTACAGGGTATAAAAATATGTATTTTTATTTAGGTAACGTAAAATATTATAAGTCGGATATTTGTTTAATTTCTTTCAATATAAAAGTAAGCTTAATACTAAAATCGAAGGGAACTACTACTTTATTCATTCATAGCTACAATAAATTCAATTTGGTTTCTAAATCATACTATATATGATTAAGTTGAATAATGTAGAATTTAGCTTTTTATTGTAATTATGTTTTATATAATAATATATATTATTTAAAGCAGCTCTCAAACCGTCCAAGAAATAGTTTTCTTTTTTCTTAATAAAAAGTTTCGCCCCTGAGACAATTTATACAAATCACAATTTTAAACACTTTTCAATTTGAAATGTAATATTGTAAATAATTGTAATTTTTCATTTTTGTTATTCAACAGTTAAATTGAATATAACTTACTGATGGCACAAATGTACATTCACTTCTTAAATTTATTTAGATTTTAGAAAGCAATGGTTTTGTTTGTCAAAGACAGACCAATGTCGTTTTTCTGGAAAAATATAATGACATAAATGTTTGATGTTTCACTTCACTAAAAATTCTTCACTGTAGCTGTTTTAGAATTGTTTATTAGGTTGTGCTAAAATAATTCCATTGGCACACTCCTATAAATCGCAATGTAGTTTGTACATGAGATCGAACTGCCAGTCGTTATTTACATTTAAAATACAGCCAAAGGGCTATACACCTTATTATTTGTTTATGCCAATTCCAAGCTTTAGTCGAAACAGTCGCTTGTTCAGTAAGTTCAGTGTTGATTACCTCTGTAGGCGGTCTACTGGCAAGTTACTTACCTGATTATAGTCCTGACCTTGACGCGCCTCAAACAGTTTAAAATGATGCTGTTCTAGGCAAATAATATGCCCATGAAGTAGCAGCGCATAACGAGATCGATCGCCTTATTTAGCTTGGCTATAAATATATGGGCCATTAAAATGATCGGTCAACTGCTGAAGGTCTTGAAGGTGTGGTGGGCAATTGTTTCGGACTTTTGTGTTGTGGTTCCACTGTGGACAAACAAATGTTTCTTTTTAATTGCGTTGCCGCTATGGAACAACAAAAGTTGCTCATTATACTTACTATATGTTTGATCCAATTGATTAGTTTTGAGCGAGTAATTTTTTTACTGCTCCCCACAGCTTTTTCGACATAACGTTTAATATTCATTCCACAGACAGACATTTGCTTTAAAATAACAAATATTGTCTTAGCAATAATCCAAGTATCTAATTTATATAGTTTCCAAGCTTCTGTAGCAATTAGGCTAAGATGTTATGGATTTGTTCAGGCGTATCTTAAATCTTTGTTAATATAGTCGTATACTTGTATAGTAACTGGTCGGTGCGTAATAATGCCATTTCAGTCAATTAGTGAATGGAGCCATTCCTGTTAATATTGCTAATTCAATTTTACCACCGATTCACAAATGTTACAACTCAGGCTATAACAAAATTTGTATACACATGTAATGTACTAACATAATTACTTATTTAGTCTTGCAAAATTTCTATAAATTTTTACAAAATATTCGCAATGCCCGAAATTGGATGATAGCACCTGTCGACAAAGACACGTTTGTCTGTAAGCATAGGGCTGCTACTCGTATATTCACTGCATTTACAAGCCTAAAAAAATACCCAAAATATTTATAGAGAAACAAAAAGTTCTTGCCGGGCTTACTTTCTGCCGACATGGAATGTTGTAAGCAGCTGTGATAAACAATTACAAATGTATGAATGCAATTTATTTTTTGTATAAAAGCTCATTAATATCATCGGCAATTTCAGTGTGTAGTTAGCATTCGCTTCCTCTAAAGGTATACAAAAATGAAACTTATAGCTGTGTGTTGTTTCGTAGTGGGCCTAAGTATGGTTCATCTAAGCGCTGGCTATTGTCGGGTTAGATGTCCAAATACCGAAGATGTGGTCTGGGCATTGGGAAACTTATGCAATGTGTTCCGAAACAAATGCTATTTCAATCAGGCGAACCGTACTAGTGATACACGTATGCAAATGGTGATTTCAAATACTAATACATACCTAATAACTAATTGGATGTTTTGTAGCCTTGACTATTGTTTCTAAAGAAGAATGTCAGCCCAGCTGTCCTACCATATGTCCACAAGTTTTTGATCCTGTTTGGGGAACGTACAATGGCAAAGTCAAACAATTTGGAAATGCTTGCATGATGGGCGCCCATGTGTGCACAACTGGCAAGAGTGAGTTGGAATTAAAAATAAATTATACATATTGTCGTAAAGAAATATTTTTACATTTTTTTATAGCATATTTGCCTTTAAGGTACTCTTGAGGAGCCGTATTGATTTCAATAAATGAATGCATCTTGTAAACCATGTGAAACTATGTTTTCTTTTCAACAGTTTCTTAATTTCTTATATTGTCAAACTCGTAGTTTTGAAGTGATTTATTTAGATTCTAAGAAATAATAAAAATTATGGTTAATGAATGAATTTGAATGTTCATTTTTGTCTAGTTCTCAATTCTATCAAACAACTTTCTTTTAGTCATTAGGTGAAATCCTAAAACCTGAAAATAAAACCAAAGTAAAAGAAAAAGTTTTAGCTCTATCAGTAGCATTTATAAACACTATTACAGCAATTAAAGAACACTAGTTCTACATGTGAAATAAAATGCATACTCTAAAAAGTAAGGTATAACTTTTAATTAACGTATGCAAAAAAAAACCCTCGAAATAAAAAATTATTACAAAATCATGTAATTTATTTTATAATTAAAATTAAGTTATGCACTAACTAAGTATTTCAACGCTTCTAGTAATACAAAAATGGTTGGCAGTGGGTGTTTAACAACTTCACTGGCCAAAAGACCAAAAATTTGGGAATAAAATAAAAAGGTAAAATTTTAAAATGTAGAAAAAATCTCTTAGTATTTTGATAGAATATAGACAAAGGGATAAAAATACAAATATAACAATTTTTGTGCAACGCTGGTATTTTTGCGGCGCCCTGAAAGTCAGATGATTTTATGCTATGTCATTCGTTTTTTTTTTTTTTTTTTTTTTTTTTTTTTTTTAGAATTGTATAGTCTTGGGATATTTGCTATCGAACTGTCCACGAAGTAATATTAATTATAATTAATTGTAATATTTAATATCTTCAAAACCAGGAATCTTTGACCTTATGAACATACGTTCTATATTCTTTGTAATCTTTAATGATCTTTAATGATTATGTATATGTGGTTGTTTATTGGTGTCACTAGGCTGGTAACTTTGAAGAATCTTTGTCTATAAAAGTTTGTATTTAAAATTATTTTCTTCGAAAAGTGCTTCAAAATTCAGAATATTTTGGATGAACTGCCTAGGCGATCGTCACGTTCGCATGTTCATTGCAAAAATTCACATTGATAGACACACGTAAGTGCCAGTGCCGAAATCGGGCTGTAATAATACATATTAATATTTTGTATAAAAGGGTAGCACTCGACACTTAAGCTTTAGTATTTAATTCTGCTTTGCTACAGTTGGTCGAGTACTAAATAATGCAGCCCATATACGTACTTTGTGTTTTACTAGCCATGAGCATAGCCCATGTACATGCTGGCTTTTGTTTTGCTAGGTGTCCAAGTACTGAGGAGGTTGTTTGGGCCTTGGAACCCGCAAATGGTCGATGTAATGCTTTCCGCAACAAATGTTATTTCAACCGGGCGAATCTTGGTCGGGATCCAGGTTAGTATTAAGAATTGCCTAAATGCAGGCATATTGAAAATATTACAATTTTCCTTAAGGCTTGAACATTGTTACTAAAAAGCAATGCCAGAAAAAATGCAATGAGGTCTGTACGAAAATTTACATACCAGTTTGGGCTTCCTATAATGGCACTGTCAAGGAATTTAGCAATGAATGTCTATTAAATGTGCACGTTTGTACAACTGGAGAGAGTAAGTCATGGAACAAAATGTTATGCTTATTACTGATAACTTCTTATCTATATTTTCAGCATATTTGCCAGTCAAAATGCAATAAAGTTGTATTTTTCATAAATGTATGAAATATTTCCAATCGCTCGTATTATCATTTCTGCTGGGTAAAGGGTCGTATTTTAGTTTTATACACTATATTCCGCCACCTAAGGCTAATAATCCTAGGCTAATATCTACACCAGCTTGTGTGCAAATTATTTGTAGTTTTTTTTTTAAGGCTACAACAAGTAAAATTAATTGTAATATCTAATTTCTTCAAAACCAGGAATCTTGAACCTTATGAATATACGTTCTAAATTCTTTGTAATCCTTAATGATCTTTAATGATTATGTATATGTAGTTGTTTATTGATGTCACTAGGCTGGTAACTTTGAGAAATCTTTGTCTATAAAAGTTTGTATTTAAAATTCTTTCCTTCGAAAAGTGCTTCAAAATTCAGAATATTTTGGATGAACTGCCTAGGCGATCGTCACGTTCGCATGTACACATTTCTTAATGTGTAGAATATTTAAATACATAAATGTACTTTTATTGAAGACAGATTCAAAAAATTGTAATGTTAATCAAACAATAAAAACTTATCGGCCAAAAATAGCTTGTTGACCTGAGTTTTAAGGAAATAAGAACATTTGTACTTTCCAGATATTTTTATATTTTTTGATAATATATGGCTATGGCTAGCTGTGACAGTACAATTTATATGCTCATACTGCAACTACTAAAACGATTACTAACTTAGGCGCGATACAAGCAGACTGCCACAAAACAGATGGACAATAGACCCAGGCAGAGGACAGGTCAGCAAAGAGTCTAAAGCCCTGTAAAGCCAGTCAGTCGGCAATATATTAATCTATAAGTATTGACATAACAGCACTTGCATATAAGTATATATATTTAATCAAAAGAGCTAAGAATAATACGGTAAACACGAAAGGCAATATTGTATTATTAAATGAATTTCTAATGTTCAGTTGTTTGAAACACATAAATTTTTGGCCATACAAATACATTATTGCCTAGGATAGTTATGGTTTGTGAAAACCTATTAGCTAAGCTTATAAATTCAAATTCCAACAGTAAATTATCCATGCTGAAATTTAGAGCTTTGGATACTCTCTCTTAGGTTTTCTAAAGTATATTTTTTCTTTTCATGCAATTAAGACAACCGCATGCAATTAACTCTAAACAGCAAACATACTTTTGAAAAGGCATTGTCTGCTTTATTTTAGGTATCTTTTGTAAAGTGCTTATTTGCGTTCTAATTAAAATTTGATTAATTAATTTCAAACTGTAATTACCAAAAAGTCGATGTACTTTTGTAGCTCACTTTGAAAGTCTGCCCTTTATCGGACACGGCTATATTTAATAATAAGGAGTATATAAGAGAACCACGTTTTATGGGAAAAGCATCAGTTGATTCCTAAACAGTAAAGGAAAAACTTCTCAATTTCCAAAAATATATTTCAATTCCAATAAATATCAACAATGGCAGCTAAATTAATTGTGTTCAGTTGCCTTGTATACGGCATTGTAGCTGAGTCGCTACTGGGCTCGTTTCCTGGTCAAGGATCTCACTATGGAGGCCGACCAATAGTCGTTGGATCTGTTCATGAGCAGTCTGGCCGGGTTATCTCACCAGTCGGACCGCATGCTGGCATCCCGATATATGCTCATCAGCCTGGTCGTCATGTCGTTTTAAATGGGAATGGACAACAGGTTGTTGTCAATCAGTCAGGCCATCTGGTAGCTGTACCTTCTGGTCAGCCTGTGGCCCATGGCCATGCCACTTGCAATGCCATACACTGCCCAATAGCTACACAGAACATTTGGGCCACCGATGGTCGCCAATGCTTCCAGTTCAATGGACACTGCAACTTAAATAAGGAGAACTGCCGTCGTCGCAGCATTAACCAGCTCTGTAAGTCTCACTGAATAATTGGTTTTCCTGCTTTTTGTATAAACGACTTTGTTTTTAGTGCTCCAACCAACCACCCGTCGACTTTGTCAACACCAGAAGTCTCATAGAGTCGAAGCAGTTGACCCCTACTGAAAAGAATGAGTGATGATCAGAAACTGGAAGCTGTCCCTGAAGATTGAAATACTTGGAGAAGCCTTAATAGTTAAATAATAAACACTTTTTTAAATATTTCTGTTATTCTCACTGAAGCTAAATATTTCTTGACTTCCAATAAAAAAATATTTTATTAATTAAATAAATACAATACGTTAACAAATATTTTGGCGTTTATAGTTTTAAGCATATCTTTCAAAATACCCAATTTCTAACTTCAATTATATTTTGCTATTTCATAATATATTGGTTAGTTCGAACTCAAGTTTTCAGATTTAGACAGTTGAGATTTCTGATGACGGCAAATACGACGCGTACTTGGCTGAAGAACTGTAGAGAAATGGTAATAAGGAAGAGTGATACGAAATCTTAGCAACTTACTGCGCTGATTGCGGTTACGACGACGGCAATTCTCCTTGATCATGTGACAAAATCCATTAAAACGATAGCATATGCGGCCATTAGTAGCCCACATTTTTTGCTGGGTCGCTGGACAACGTATAGTGTTACAGTTTCTGTGTCCAATACTATTTTGACTTACTGTTTCTAGAGGCAGCTGGTTCGCATTTGAGAATATTTCAGCACTGTTTTCAGTGATTGAAACTTGGCTTAGATTGTTATTAAGAAGGTTGGTTTCGTCTGGCTGTAAGTCTCCCATATCATCTGTAAAGTTTTCTTCAACTGCGATGAAAGCTTGAATAGGCCTGGACTGCACAAATCCGACCCTGCATGGTGGTAAGTACTGAAGTTCTTGACGCGATTGGAAAACCAATAGCGACTGGGCACTACTATAAATAAAAAGACTTAGCAGAGCTAAAAAGCTGGCGATCATGATAGCCAATCTACTTGTATAGTTGCTGTTTGAGACTTTCGGCTTAAGAGTCAACTGATGCTTTCCTACTGAAGTGAAATATTTTTATACCTACTTGGGGTTAGATATGCCAGCATTATTGAAAGTAATTCACATAAAAGAAATATTATGCACTAGACTGGTATAAAAGTAGAGTTAATCATCATCTGCTTAGCATCTGGCTGTCAAGTGTAAAATACGGGCCATGCAAGTAAACACAAGTCGGATGACTAAACAAAATGTTTAATTAAAAGATAAGCTTTTAATTAATGATTCGTACACGTGCATGCTCTATGGCTACTCCGAATTCAGAGGCACTGCAATTGTTCCCAGAATTGGTTTTTGTCTTTTTTTTAACTTTCCTCTCTCTCTCTCTCTCTCTATCTATCTATCTCTCCGCACATAGCACAAAACAGTAGAATAATGGGGCAACCCATGCGAAAAGGGCAACATTATTGCTTATATTGTCAATAAATGACACATGTTCTACTATATTTGTTTATCTGACAGTTGTTGCTTAAATAAAAATACCTTGAGCTTGTATAGCACTTTTTATTTATTTATGTACATATACATGCCTGAAAATATTCTTTTTATAGAAGTACTGTGGTTTTTATGTCTCGACCGATTCTTCATCAATTTCATCTTTTACCGCCATATCAAAACTCATTGTTTCAATTTCCGCGCATAAGCCGGGAGCAATAAATGAATAAGCTGTTAAGTATAGAACCGTAAAAATTAATCATTCAAAAATCTATTCTCTGTGTGAGTTATTCATTCTATCTAAAGCATAAAGAAATACTTACGCTTTTCCTCCACACATGCAAATTTGTAAAGTTCACACCTATTATTGAAGGTTCTTTGAAAATCATTAAAAAACTGCGCACAAACCGGTTCATACGATTCCTCACAAATATTATCGCAATGTAGTTGGCACTTTTCCTTGTCTACTGCGGTAAAGAGCCCTTCACCCCGATTTTGGCGACTGCACTCTTCTGTTAATTGTAAGCACGGATTGTAAAATACATGACATCGGAGTTCATCCATTGCCCAGGCAAGGTTTTTAGTATCGGAACAAGTGGGTGCTACATTGCAAGGATGATATATGCGAGATGCTTGGGAATTCAAAACGACCACGATGGAAACTAAAGTTGAAGCAAGCTTAATAGACTTAAACATTTTGTACGTGAATCTAATTAAAAGGTAACTAACACTCGGTGTGATTTGAGAAGTTTTAAATTCTGGTTATACGTAGTCCACTTTTATATGATTTTGATGAATAGCTTTATTTTAATTAGCACTTGCGGACAATGCTCGGCAATTATTTTTGACTTTGCTGCAAAATCAAAGATAAGGCTTCGGTTGGCGTGTTACCTTTAAACAGTCCCAATTAAACCATTAAAACAAAGGAATAACGTTTTCTAATTTTTGTATTATTAATTAATTATATATATATATATATATAATGCAGGAATTAGCTTAAACACTTGTTCTGCGCCTGCACTCAGGTGATTCCTTTCTGCACTCGCCCACATGTACAACGTTCCAGGCTGCAAGAAGCGGATTATATGAGTCTACAGATGAGGATATTGTCTAGTGGTACTTACTTTCATTGTTGAGGCAACGTTGTCTACGTGCCTCGCAGGCGCTAGGGAAGGTGCATCGAGCATTTTGTCCACAGCGTTGGGCACAAACAGGTGTCCCGCGGATTTTAGGGCAGGGACTACACTGGCGCGGAGTCCTTGCTTCCACTAAAGCAAAGCAGACCAAGCAAACAATGAGCAATGTGCAAATAGTCACGAATTTCATTTTAAGATTCTTTACTTGAGAGTTATTAAGTACGTTGATGGCTCAAAGTTTCAGCTTTCGAATGATATTGACTACCAATGAGTTTTCTTTTTATATACAAACTGACTCTTCGGCCTGGAAAGAAGAAAACCTTTAATATAAATAAATATACTTCCTCATTTAAAGAAATTGTTGTTAACTTGTTGTAATGGAACAATTAAAGCAGATCTTTTGTCTGATTCTATCTGGTTTTGCACTTGAATACAAAATAAGCAATATGCCATAAAATGTGAATGCATATTATTTTTTTAAAATAAGCCGATAAATAATACAGACCACTTGTGGTTGCTCTCATTTTATTATTATATTAATATTAAAGATATTAAAATATTAGATGGAAGCAAGATATTTCAAAAGCCAGAGGAGGGATCGTTTTAAACAAAAGCTGCAAATAAATATAAATCAATTAATAATTCTAATATATAATACTAATGAATAAGCGTACTCTTTCCAGTTTTACACGAATGCACCATCAATTCACATAAATTTCCAAAGGTCCTAGTCTCTCCCAAATATGTTCCTGAAACTGGCTGATATATTTGTATACAATATTCAGGACATCTCAACTGACAAACATCCTTGGAGACGATTTCCATTGCTGGTAACATTGCTCATTAGATCACCTATTTAATATAAAGTTTCATTGAGCCCTTACCTGGTTTGCGCGTCAGATTTTCCTTCGTGTAATAGCATTCGTTACGAAACACCTTGCACATTCTTTCATCTAGGGCCCAAACCACATCTTCTGTATCCGGACAAGCACTGATCTGAGTTATGGCCAAGCTCAACACAATACCACTGATAAGAACTGCTTTCATTATCATAAAATATTCAATAGATAACAAACACTGGACTCGTTAGCGCAACGCTTCCCTGCAAACTGATACGGCTGTTTGATGTGATGAGCTTATATTCCGAGCTTCAAAGCTTGCCTATGGGTTATTTTAATGACAAATGCTTTTAATACTCTGTACATGAAATGTACAAGAGTATATTAGGTTTGCGGGAGCTGAAAATGTAACAGGCAGAAGGAGGCGTGGCAGACCCCACAAAGTGTATATATTCTTGATCAGCATAAAAAGAACAGTCGATCTAGCCCTGTCTGTCTGTCCGTCTGTCTGTCTGTCTGTCTGTCAGTCTGTCCGTATGAACACCTGGATCTCAGAGACTATAAAAGCTAGAGACACCAAATATTGCACAAAGATGTGTGTACGCTGTGCAAGTTTGTTATATTTTTTTGATTTTCCCCCCGCTTCCCCCCTATGTGGGTTTTCCCGATTTTCCATTCGTATAATCGCCTATATCTCGGAGACTATAAGACCTAGGGACACAAAAGGTGTTTTGGAATTTCCCTCCCTCTCCCACGAAATGAGCAATTTTCCATAACTCCCGTATTTCTTGGAAGTTTTTCAATAAAATTCAGAAAATATATCCAGATAGCAACTATGAGGCCGTATGCAAAGTTTAATAATGATAGGCCGATTTAACAGGAAGTTATATCCATATATGTATGTATGACCAAGCAGTGCCCGCAGCCCGCACACAAACACACACAAACACACACATACACTCATATTTGTTCTACACATATGTACAGAGTATTTCAAAGTCGGAGCACCCGGCGTTAGCTTCTCCACTTGTTTGATTGTGGCTCCATACGAACGAATATATAGTAAGGTGTGTACCAAAGCTATGCGACAATTATAGAATATTGTAATATTTTACTGTTGGTGCTAATAACCGGTTTTAACGGGACTTAACCATACTGCAAGTATTTTATTTAGAATTGCTTTTATAAATACTCTGTATATATGTACTTGTTTATTGCAAAAACTCACCAATGCGATTTAAATCGAATATTAGTTGGTAACCAGAAACCTACTGAACGTGTCTAATATTTGTTTGATATTAAACATATTGAGTAAATATTTTATTAGTTATTATTTCATTATACATTGAAAATTTTTTTTAAAATAATCTACAAATATTTATTCGTTTGGAGCACAAAACTGAAACATGTTTCGCATTGATATATATGGTATATGTCAGATAGTAGATTTTGGTTTTGCCATTCTCATTCTTATATTTTCAATAAGGTCCAATACCACCGATGGTGTAAGACTTCTGGTGTTGACGAACACGACGGATGGTTTGTTGGAGTACTAAAAACAAAGTCGTTTATACAAAAAGCACGAAAACCAATTATTCAGTGAGACTTACAGAGCTGGCTAATGCTGCGAAGACGGCAGTTCTCCTTATTTAAGTTGCAGTGTCCATTGAACTGGTGGCCCAAATGTACTGTGTAGCTATTGGGCAGTGTATGGCATTGCAAGTGGCATGGCCATGGGCCACAGGCTGACCGGAAGGTACAGCTACCAGATGGCCTGACTGATTGACAACAACGTGTTGTCCATTAAAACGACATGATGACCAGGCTGATGAGCATATACCGGGATGCCAGCATGCAGCCCATGCAGGCCAGCGATCGGTCGGCCTCTGGGGGGGATTACACCATATTAAAGGGGCCCAATAGCGATTCGGCTACAATGCCGTATGCAAGGCAATTGAGCACTATTAATTTGCCATTGTGGGTATGATTTGAATTAATTTAAATATATTTTCACAGATTTGTTGTTTCTTACACACCATCTGGTTCTAACTGAAGCAATGCGCATCTCTTTTATACCTGCAATTCAAATATTCTTTTGACATCCCAAACGTTTCATGGCTAATGATGCATAATACAAAGCATACAGCCTCAGTAAAAAACATATCAAAAGTAAAGTAAAGCAAAAACAAACTCAAATTGTATTGTGAGTTGATAAAACAAGGATATTTGAACTCTGCAGCATTTCAAGTGCTTCAGCCGAAATTTTTGTGACCGACATTACACAATTAAGCTGATTCTAAGAAATCTGTGGTACTTAACTTGATAAATAAATTCAACCCTTAAATCCCAGATCATAGGACATGGAAAAATTGCTACTCTGATACATAGTCGCTAAGGTGGTTGTGTAGGGAGAAGTAAATGGGGGACCACATATTATCGCAGTGCATTTTTTATTCTCTTCCATGAGATATAATTATTATTGTACTAGGTCAAAACAAAGTTCAAAGTTTACGTAACTGAAGTATGATGAACTTTTGGATAAACTGGAATATTCCGCACATAAGCATGTTCATGTTAATGTCAAACTCGCAATACTCACGACCTAATTATAATGATTGCTTAATGCATTCGATTATAATTACATTGGTCGGTTGGGCACAGGGCTATGAACTGTGCATATTCATCTCAGTAATTACAAGTTGGAGCAAACCCCAAATATGCGACTATAAAAGTAAATGGTTTTGCCAGAATCAACATCAGTTGTCTCCCGAACAACTTACACACATTTTCTCAAATAACCATACCAAATATTCATTAGGAGATTTTGAAAATGGCTGTGAAATATTTTGTCGTCCTCAGTTGTCTCGTTTATGGTGCTGTGGCGAATCCAGGCGTGCCTTATAACAATGGACAACAGTATGTTGGTGGTGTCGTTGGAGCTGTGGAGTCGCAGCCTGGTCGTGTCATCTCGTCAGTTGGAATTGCTGATCAGCAGCTTGTGAATAATCGCCCCGGTCAGCAGATCGTACTCAACAAACCGAATAACCAGATTGTACTGAACCAGCCGAGCCACCAAGTTGTGGTTAACCAGCCAAGACATCAGGTTGTCCTAAATCAACCAGGTCGTCAGCTTCTCGGCAATCAGGCTCGGCGCCAACCAGCACGGCTTATCTCATCAGGTGCCACCCTGTCGCCTGGTCAGAATGTGGCAGACTGCAATGCCATCCATTGCCCGCTCTCTCGGCACAACTTTCTTGCTACGGATGGCCGCCAGTGCTTCCAGCTCAATGGACAATGCAGCTTGAATAAGGAAAACTGCCGCCGTCGTAGCCGTAACCAGCTGTGTAAGTAAAGCAAACTCGCCCTTGGCAACTCTTCGCTAATCTTTCTATACTTGCAGCTCTCGAGCCGACCACAGCTCAGCATTGCCATCACCTTAAGGCCCAGATCCTCAACCCCATTGGTGTCCACTAAATTGTTTGGAATTGTGAATGTTGACCCACTACTCTCGCGCATAAATTCATATTAATTTGCAATGTTTTGACTTAGAAAGAGGAATGTTATTAATATATGATGAAAATTGTAAAGCAGAACTATAATACATTACTATACTCGTATACCGCAAAAACCAGCTTGAACTTAATTCGCGTACTGGCCGGTTCAACGCCGGATTCATAACACGTCGTATTTTGGTTGTCTTGTAAAGTCTTTTGGTTGCATTTGTTGTTGGTACAACAATGGTTTTCTTAATGAACTTTTCGCTCATGTCATTTCTTGTTATAATGCCATGTTATGACTTAAAGCACGATTCAAACGAAAAATGTCTAAAGATTTGGTCAAAAGTTACTGCATTAAACATGAGTGGGTCTGACCACTACGCTCTTTGGTGCCATAAGTAGCCGTACCTCTTTAAATATAGATATGGATTATAAGTCTCATTACTAGTCGCCTATGCCTTAATTGGCATATAGAAGACTTCATTAGGCGATATCTGTGTGAGAGTTTTGGTGCCGGGTACCTAATCAAAAATTAAAAGAAAAATATAAAAGCCACGAAATGTGTGGTTATGAGCCAATTATCAGGCGACCTCCGTGCGAAAAAAGAAAAGAAAAAACCACCTCGATATGGCTCAGGGTCACGTTTTGCTTGGCCACATGCAACAATAAACGCAAATTACAATTTCAATTGTCCAAGAAATAGCCAAGCGAATGGCACTTCGATAAGTGCAATATCATGACGCGCCAAAATTAGGTAAACAAATATCAAATTGTTCCTACACGCCCCAAAAATTGCGTAAAAATAAAAAGTAAATGCTGTAAGTGTGACTGATTTCAAATGAATACACTTAAAGAAAAAAAAAACGAACTGTAATTACAATAATAAAAATGATAAAACGTGAAGAACGAACGCTACAGTCATTTACTAAAAAAACATTGTTTGAGGCTAAAATAAAAACTTAATCGTAAAGTACCGAATAGTTACGGTACGGAAATAAACAGAAACGTTTATTACGATTGATTTTCGCATAGATCGTCCCTATGGTGTTATGATATAACTTTAGGGTATGGTGAGGCAATTTGCAAAGTTTATAAATGAAAATGTTCTCAAGAAAAATAAACAAACAAGTAAAAAAGCTAAAGTCGGGTGTCCCGACTTTGAAATACTCTGTACATATGTTTACAATAATTATACAAGTAGAAAATAAAAAAATTAAAAAAAAAAACAAGTAGAGAAGCTAAAGTCGGGTATCCCGACTTTGAAATACTCTGTACATATGTGTAGAATAATTATGAGTGGATGTGTGTATTTGTGTGTGTATGTCTCGTGTGCCTGAGCAAAGCAGTAACAACTTCTATAACTTCCTGTTTAATCGGCCTATCATGATGAAACTTGGCATTTGGACTTATAATAACTAAATGGAGGTATTTGTTTGAGTTCAAAATTCCAAGAATTACGGGAGTTACGATTTGCGGGGGAGAGGGGGGAGAGACGTAAATTCCAAAATACACATTTTCTGCGTATTCACATAAGGCATCTTGGACTAAAATTTGGTGTTCTTAGGTCTTATAGTCTCTGAGATATAGGCGATTATAAGAATGGAAAATCGGGAAAACCCCCATAGGGGAGAAGTGGTATAGAATACACACATAAGGCATCTTTGTGCAAAATTTGGTGTCTCTATCTCTTATAGTCTCTGAGATCCAGGTGTTCATACGGACGGACAGACAGACAGACAGGGCTAAATCGACTCGTCTTGTCACGCTGATCAAGAATATATATACTTTGTGGGGTCTGCCACGCCTCCTTCTGCCTGTTACATTTTTCAGCTCCCGCAAACCTAATATACTTCTGTACATTTCATGTACAGAGTATGAAAACGATGTTCATATATAAAATAATGAGGGTAAATGAGGGTAATAAGAAAACTCTGAAGATTTGCTGACCCTAGTTATTATCAAGAGCTCTCGGTCACATAGAAACTTGTCTTTATCATAATGATCATATATGTAAGTACCTTTACCATCAAAATAATAATAGTCATTACTATAATCATTTTATTTTAATATATGATACTTTTCTTTGGGTGTACGCATTTTATTGAGTTACTCGGATCTTAAGCGCCTTAACCAAGTGCACGAACACGTGACGTATACGCCCCATGGGCACCGTGACTCATGCATATATGTCTGTACGATAATGCCCAGCTGGCAGACAACAAGCGTGTTAGCAATTCGCGCCAGACATGCGACGTAGTGGCTGCTGTCGATTCGATCTAAGGCGTTTTAATTTTAATTAAAAATGCTTATGGCCGTTTTTTTTTTACTTTTTTTTGGTCCATAATTTTGAGCACCTATTTGACAATTGTGTAGCCAGCAAATCAATACATATCAAGCAATTGCTCAATCGCTTCAATCAATAACAAATAACTTTGTGCTAAAAATTGACGTTTCGCAAGATTTTGAAAGGTGAGCGCTTTGAAGTCAACAGCAGCAGCAGCAACAACAACGGCAGTGCCTGCAACAACAAGTCCCACATACAGTGCGTTGCTAAAAATCTTGAACATGTAAAGAATGCTGGCAAGGTTGTCTGCGATGGTAACGGCAACAGCAACAACGAGCTATGCAACAGGCCTCAGAGCAGCTGTATGCAGTCTCTTACTTAATTAAATTGCCTTTATGCGTCTCTCAGCCATTTGTGGCTTAGTTAGCTTAGTTGGTCTAATCAAGTGGTTAGTGCCCCCTCGAGTTGTAGGCGCGTTCGCAATTAAAAAATTGCTCGCTTGCAAATCAGTCAGCTTTTTGTTAGGTACATGGCTTTATGACTTTATTACGCTCGCCTCGCTGCTCCATTAAAACGAAATTCTTTGCGGTAAATATCAATTAAAGCACCATCAAGAGGCTCAATGACAAGTAAAAAATTAAATTTAATACGCACCATGCTAATGTTTTGCTCTACATTGGAGCAATGCGTAAACAAAAATGTCACACGCCATTAAAAATTAATAGCTTGTTCAAGAAACCGAGCAAAAAGGAGCAAAACGTCAATGCGTTGCGCTAATGTCAGACTTGGACTGGTTGATAAACAAAGTTTTTGGTAGTGCTGCAAAAAAAGGAAAAAAAAAAACAGAAACAACATCGGCCAGATTTGTGGCTTAAATAAAAGAACATAAACGCAACAAGACAACTTTTCAAAATGCGTGGCCGTCGTTGTCATATATTGTAGTTATCGAAACGGCTGTTGTTGCTGCTTTTTTTTGCTGTTGTTGCTACGGAGCCGAGCTTAGCGGTTGCACAACTTTATGCGTTGCAACTTCGGCATTCAGTGCTCCGATTGTCAAGCCCAACAAAGCCAAAGGCCAACAAATCGATATGGAAAATAAGGCAGCAAAATCATTTGCGTTGGTGCTTAAATAAAATTAATTTCTATTCCAATGCTTTTTGACTTTTTGCAAGCAATTTTTTTTCAGTTTTTTCATTTTATTTTTATAGTGTGCATTTTGGTTTATGCCAGTGGGCACTTGGATCTGGCCTGCAGAGCTGTGCGCGGCTTGACAAATTAAATTAATTGGTTTAATGTGATATTTTGCTCTGCTAACCACGGACGTGGACATGGCCCAAGCAAATGTGTGACTTATCTGGCCTAAAGTAAATGGCCAAGATATTAGTAATTATGTACAAGTGTGTAATTGGTGTGTGTTTATCTTGCGGGACAGTGTATTACATTTTAATCTTATTTTGCGATCAAATTTGTCTCTTCTTGCAGATAAATACGAGTCTTAAATCTATATATCGATCATTAATATAGATTTTTGAACAAAATTGGAGTATATATGTAGAATGTAAAAAAAAAATTAAAATTTTGATTGAATAATTTGAAAAATATTTTATGCATATGATCAATGAAGAAACTTTAACAAATCCAACTCAGTTCCATACTAAGGCGAAATAGTGCGTTATAATAATGAACGTGTGGTCGACTTTGTATGGAACATTTTTTTGAAGGGGCGGCAACGGCCCCCCTGCCCACCCCTACCTTTGCCCTTGCAACGAGCCCTACTTTTAAAGAGGCTTATATTTTATAATATGAGCCCTTTTAATAAAATAATTCATTCTATAAGCCATTCTGTAAAAAACAAATTTAAAACTTATAAAATATGTATAATTGTTCTGCGATTGATTCATGCCATAGATCGTTTTAAATCTTGGATGCGAGATATGTAATATATAATAGAAAGTCCAAAACCAGGGGACAAAGAAGGCTTATTTATTAACAGAGAAAGTAGTTACAATTCATATACATACATATGGTATACTATTTTAATACTAGTACAATATTTTCAATAACTTCAGTCTGGAAACATCGATAATTAATAATTATTCTTAAAAAATTTAGAAAATGCTTTCTTATTTCCCAGGGGGGCTGTACTTAATAAACAAATAACACTTGTTTTTAGAAAGAAGCTTTCTCAAAACTAGAATTAATTTTCTTGAATTATAATAAAGGGTGATTTTTAAAGTGAACAAATTATCTATTTAATTAGTTTATGCTATGTATGTGATTTTCGCTTCCAACTCTCAGTAAAATTTTTATGAAATTGTCAACATTTAAATCGTAAGAAAATACACTTACATTAAGCATTTCGCTTTAATATTTGTTTATCCTAAATTGCAATCGGATTTCTTAAATAGCTGTGAACAGGGCCAAACAAAAGACTTAAGACACAAACCTGTCATTACTCACCACACCAGTAGCAAGCGCACCTCACCACAACCACTCGAATCCAATGCAAAAGGCACTCAAAGTTTTACTCGAAACCCGATGATCACGCAAAGCATACTCAACATTAAACACCTTCTCCTCTTCGCTTCTCGGCTCAGCCAGGTCGGTGCCGTTAGTGGCCACCGTACTGATAACCAAAGCCGTTGAGAACGAGCTAAATGGGAGACTGGCGCTGCTGCGTCGCAGCTGTAAAGCCGGCAAGTTTTTTGGTTTTTCTGTGGCAGCATTGAGTCGCAGTGTTCAGTTAATTGTTGGACACACTCCGAGGCGGTTGTGCATGCGGCTAACGGTACTAGTACACCGAGTGTTTACTTGAAAGATAATAGCCTTTGTGTTCATGTGTCTGTGTGAAGCAGGAAGCGTCACTGCCAACAAGTGCAGTAAAGAGTTGACAAAAAATTCGATTTAAGTAAAGTGACAAAGAGTGAAATTTTACATTTATTTTCTACAAATTTCAAAAATATCGGGAAAGCAATGAAAAAGTGAAGTGCAGAAGGAGCGTTCCAATACGAAAGACTCAGGCAGCGGGCTCGACGTGACTTCTATGAACTCTTGAGCTACCTTACTGTTGCACTCTGGCC